CTGTCGGGCTGCCATTTCTGGAGGCAGGAGTGGAAGGAAATACATCTCAAAGGCAAGAGGGGCCTTTTAAACAGCTGAAAACATTTTCAATAGAAAAGTGCTTTGTGCTCTGGCAGAGCCAAAAATGGTGGTTTTGAGAAAAGGTTTTTTGTTCTCCTCCTGTTGGGAAAGGTCATGTTTTCTTCTCCACAAATCACTCAGATCCCAGGGTCCTAAGGAGGACCTTTAGGAGTCTGGGTGGGGGTCCAGAGATTTTATTATATTCTCAAGGAAGTATGGGATCTCCAAAGGATTAAGAACTACGAGGGGTCCCTCCTCCTGAAATTTCATGGAAGCTATGTTCACATGTGGTCCCCTTGAAGCATTAGAGGTCCCCAAAGTTTGTCTTTAATAACCACAAGGTCCACCGATAGGGTAAGAGAGGGAACAGGAAGAGGCCGGATAGCTTCCGGGTTAAGTGCAAGCTCTTCAGCCCCTAGCAGACTCTGTAAATAGGGGGGCCAGGAGAGTGCGTGTCCCATAGGGTGGTCCTGAGAGTTCAGGGGTAAAGCAGTTAAAATAGTACATAGTCTGAGCAGGTAAGGAGCTGGCACAAGGCCACAGTGGCTCAGCTGTGAAAGGGAAGAAAAGCACTGCTGCCAATTAAAAGAATGAGGTGGATCTGAACATATTGACTTGGAAAGATGGCCAAGTAGGTCACTGAATGAAAAAGGCAAATTGCAGATCTAGATGCACAGTATCACTCCATTTGAGGAACAACACAAACCCAAACATGTACATGTGTTGGGTTTTTCATCTGGAAAGGCACACAATGAATTATCAATAGTGGTTTCTTCTAGGGGTGCTTTCTTTTTTAGTTATATGTAGTTTACACTGTTTGATTTTGCGGCAAGCATTACTTTTGGAAGGGGAAAAAAGAAAGAAAAAAACGTGCTGTCCTATGTGGCAGATTGCTAATAGTTAACTACAAAGTAAGGCAAGTGGTCAGTTTCCTGCCAACAAGCAATCTACATGGAGATTTACCTGTCACTGCACATATGGAGAATTTTACCATGTTCACACATGCATTACTACAAAAAAAGTTTTAATCTTTTAAAACAGGGCAATTTAGCCCTGGTCCGGTAGCTCAGGTTAGAACATTGTCCCCATACACCAAGGTTGTGGGTTCGATCTCTGGTCAGGGCACATACAAAGAAACAACCGATGAATGAATAAATAAGTGAAAACAAACTGATGTTTCTCCCTCCCTTCCTCTAAAATAAAAAAAATAAAAAAATAAAAAAACACCCATAGGCAATTTAGCTTTGTATTTAGTCTAAGAAAGATTTACTAAGCGTCAGACATTGTGCTAAGTTCTGAAGACATGGAAAAGACTAAGACAGTCTCTGCCTTCTAGTTCATGGTCTAGTTCAGTTCTTCTCAAACTTTACTGTGCTTCCAATCACCTGCAAATGTTACATATTGGTTATCTATTGTTTAGCAAATCAGCCCAGAACTCTGCCGCTGAAAACAAAGTTATTATCTAATATGGTTGCTGAGTCAGGAATTCAAAACTGACTTAACCAGGTGATTCTGGCTCTGGGTCTCTCATGAGGTTGCAGTCAAGATGTTGGTTGCAGCCATCTGAAGGCGTGAATGGGGCTGAGGGGCTCACTACCAAGATATTGCACAAATATGGCTGTTGGCAGAGGGCCTCAGTCCTTGGACATGTGGCCCTCTCACAGAGTACCTGCCTGAATGTCCTCATCATATGGCCTCTGGTTTCCCCCAGGGTGAGTGATCCTGGAGAGAAAAGTAGACACTGCAGTGTCTTTATGACCTACCAGCCCTGAAGTCATACTTCATCATTTCCACTATATTCTGTTTGCTAGAAACAAGCCACTAAGGACAGCCCATCTCAAGGCAAGGGGAATTAGGTTCGGATGAGCAGAGGAGTATTGAGGAATTTGTGGACATACTTTAAAACTACCACTGGGTTTAGAGTACACAATATTAAAATGCATAATCTGATTGAGTACGTCTGGGGAGGAGCCCAAAGTTCTGCATTTCGAACATGCTCACAGTTGACAGCACTGCTGTTGGTCTTGGACCACATTTGAGTCGAGAGAGAACCACATATGCAAAGAATGATAGCTCAGATCATGTCTTTGGAACAATACTGCTTGCAAGAATAACATCCTTTGTCATGTTGCCATCCTTTGGATGATGTCCAATTTTAAAATCACATTTTCCCTGAAAGGTCAGAGCAGTAAAGTAAGGGAAAGACAAGATTACCCTGTTAATACATGAGGACAAGCTGTAATGAAATAAAAAACAACCAAAGGGAAATCCATAAAATCTCTCTGGTCTTGTTTTGGAAGCTCTCAAGCATAAAGCATCAGCCATCAATTCTGAAGGGGATGCTAAACAAACAGCAACAAATCTGGGCTTTTAATAAGGATTGTGCAAAATGCCTTCATATGCCTAAGATTCCTGACTGCAATCCTACAAAATTAGTCTTGACATGAGGGCAGCAAATACTACCAGCACTTCAAAGATTAAAGAACAAATACCACCAGCATCGAGATCCAAAGGAGAGGGGGAACAGCATAGGAGGCTATTTTCATAGCAGTTTTGCAACTGCTTAAGATGTTTTTCTTAAAATATGTTTTTATTGAATTCAGAGAGGAAAGGAGAGGGAGATGGAAACATCAAAGATGAGAAAATGATCCATAGCTGCCTGCAACCTGGACATGTGCCCTGACTGGGCTCAATTACTGAGCAACACTGGCCGGGCCTTAGTAACATCTTGACCCTTCCCTCACCTACTTCTTTCTCCTCTTTTCCTTTTTCCTTCTCCTTCATTCCTTCCTGTCTTCCTTCCTTTAAATGGGCACCTACAATGTGTCAGGGAGTGGAAAAGATTATTTGCCCTCTTTGTCTTATATAAGAAAGACATAAAATGGACATTTATAAAACAATGTAGGCATGAAGCAGTCACTGTGTAGAAACTTGGCTTTTCAGTTGTTAAACAATTATACTAAACTACACTGCAGGTGTCTGTTTGTAACCTAGCACTGAAGAGCTGAAGATCTAAATTATCTTTGACCTTTCTCTCCCATGTTTAACTTATTGCAATTATCATCAGAAGACTGATTTACTTATCACATACATTAAACTCACTCTTGCTTTAGGAAAAGAGAAGTTGACTAAACCAAACTATCCCAGTGTCCACTATTCTTCAAAACTGGACCCCCAGGAGGCAAGTCATGCCCCATCAGGCAGTGCTGATTAAACCCAGAAAGGCAAAAGCCTTAATGCTGTAATTCTTCTCCACAAGAAGCTTAAGAGGCTAGGCCAGGAGTCCCTAGTCCTAACTCACATCAGAATCACTTAGGAGCTTTGGAAACCATTCTGATCCTGGGCCCCTCTCTAATCCTGAATCTTTGGTTTGCCATCTGGAAAAAGTTCCTCAGGACATTCGAATTGCAGCTAGAGAGGAGAATCACTGATATAGGTTTTTCACAATTACTTAAAAATGTGCAAATCACAAAAGACACAGTATGAAAAGTTTAGTCCATTTTGGTCCATATTTTGGTAACAGCACTAAAGAAAATTATTATAACACAAATTCGCAAATAATCCACAATTTAGTATATTCTCCAAAAGAAGAATCCACAATTCAAAAAAGAAACAATGAGTCTTCCACTTACCTGATGAACTTGACAGTCTTGCTTTGTGTCAAACTTAAATACCCTTGTGTTTTCAATTTCCTTTTGTTACCAATAAGCTACAATTTTTCCTTTATATTCCTATAACTTTCTTAATGATTTATTATTGATGCTTTAGGAAAAAATTAGCTATGGCCCAAACATTGACCAGCTTTGTTTGCTGAAATTTGAATGCACCTGAACTGTCAGCCTTATGGCATATACAAAAATCACCACCGGAGTTTTATTAAAAAACAAACCTCTGCCGAAACTGGTTTGGCTCAGTGGTAGAGCGTCGGTCTACGGACTGAAGGGTCCCGGGTTCGATTCTGGTCAAGGCATGTACCTTGGTTGTGGGCACATCCCCAGTAGGGGCTGTGCAAGAGGCAGCTGGTAGATGTTTCTCTCTCATTGACGTTTCTAGCTCTCTATCTCTCTCCCTTCCTCTCTGTAAAAAATCAATAAAATATACTTTTTTAAAAAACAAAAACCTCTTGCAGTTTAATAAAACTCACATAACAATATTCTAACTGCAAAACTAGCATAAACTGGCCTTGTTCTGTTCTTAATGAAATACTAGCCGAAGCCGGTTTGGCCAGTGGTAGAGCGTCAGTCTGCAGACTGAAAGGTCCCAGGTTCGATTCCAGTCAAGGGCATGTACATTGGTTGCGGGCACATCCCCGGTAGGGGGTGTGCAAGAGGCAGCTGGTCGATGTTTCTCTCTCATTGACGTTTCTAGCTCTCTCTCTCTCTCTCTCCCTTCCTCTCTGTGAAAAATCAATAAAATATATTAAAAAAAAAAAAAAAAACTAACTTTTTTTCAGAGTTAGCAGAATAAGACTGCAAACCATGTACTGGAATAGTGGGACAACTCACTAGAGAAAAAATTTACCCTAAAATAACTTTTCAAAGACACCAGGTCAAAATCCACTGTGGACTACAAACCCCTCCCTCTAAATTCAAACATTCAATGAATGAAAAGCTGTGATTCCCAAGCATCTGCATACTAGGCTCTTATTATGTGGAGTCAATGTACCCCTATAAATACACAAAAATCTACTGCTCCTTCCTTTAACTGTAGCCCAAAACCCTCATCAGGGAGACAGATTTGAGCCTCCCCTCCAGTCTCATTGCCAGTGGACCTCACAATTAAAGCCTTTTCTGTTCTCAAAAGATGACGTCATAGTATTGGCTCCCATGCGTGTGGGACAGTAAGCTCTTGCTCAGTAACAATAACTCCATTTCCTTTCCCGCCACCATCACTTGTTAAATTACTATCATCTTTTACAGACAGGGAAAAGTGGACATACCTTAAAATCTTTCTGATAAATATATCGCTGCACTGCACCCAGCCTGGATAGCCTTCTTCAAAATGGCATATGCTGGAGCCTGTTAAAGACCATAAACAAGCAAAAGAAACACATTCCATGTTCACTTTTTAAAAATATATATATTTTAATCAGTTTCAGAGAGGAAGTGCCTGCCCCATACTGGGGACTGAGTCCACCGCCCAGGCAAGTGCCCTGACCGGAAACCGAACTGTGACCTCCTGGTTTACAGGCCAGACTATGTTCACGTTTACTTGTGAGATGTGCCTGGCAGGACTGAGACTTCTCCGGAGAAGAAGGAAGATGTAAGAGATAATACGCTTTAATTTGGGGGGGGGGGGTGAACTAGTCAGAAGATTAGAATGCCTCCGCTGCTGCCAAAGCATTGAGTCATCTGGTTTCTCACTGGAAAGGGAAAAGGAGCTGCCAGGGAAAATACTAAGGAGGAAGCAAGAAGTTTCCCAATTGGGAGCTTGCTCCTTGTCAAAGCAGTGCATTGGTTTTCTTTCTTTGGCCGTCACTTTGAAATCCATTTTTGTGGGAACAGACACCTTCCCACCCAGCAGCCTTCCAAATAAAGTAACCAAAATCACCACAAGCAACAGTAAAGGTAGGTCCTCACCAGTTCTGCATCATGTTCAAGGCCTATGTCATGGTGCTCAAGCTCTTCATCCCTAAATTTCTTTATCACCTGGTTAAATAAAAAGAAATAGAAGTCAGCATTCCAACTCTCCAAGTGAGACTAAAAACTCATATTATCATCTAAGATAGGAGTAGGTAAACTTTTCCTATAAAGAGACAGAAGCAATACTTAGCTTTGTATGGTTCCCTACCATATCTACTCAACTCTGCCATTGTAGAGAGGACAGCAGCCATGGACATTTGAACAAGTGGGTATAGCTGTGTTCCAACAAAACTTTATTTACATAAACAGGTGATCAGTCACAGGCCATAGTTTACCAACCCAATTTAGGCTTTAAAAAAAGCCAGGCCATGCCCTAATCGGTTTGGCTCAGTGGATAGAGCGTCAGCCTGTGGACTCATGGGTCCCAGGTTCCATTCCAGTCAAGGGCATGTACCTTGCTTGCAGGCACATACCCAGTAGGGAGTGTACAGGAGGCAGCTGATGGATGTTTCTCTCTCTTCGATGTTTCTAACTCTCTACCCCTCTCCCTTCCTCTCTGTAAAAAATCAATAAAATATAGTTAAAAAAAAAAAAAAAAAAAAAAAAGGCCAGGCCTGCCCTAGTTAGTTTGGCTAAATGGATAGTGTTGGCTTGTGGACTAAAGGGTCCCAGGTTCGATTCCGGTCAAAGGTACATGCCTGGGTTGCAGGCTCAATCCCCAGTAGGGGGCATGCAGGAGGCAGCTGATCAATGATTCTCTCTCATCACTGATATTTCTCTCTCCTTCTCCCTTCCTCACTGAAATCAATAAAAATATTTTAAAAAAGAAAATAAATTTTAAAAGCCAGACCTGAATCTGCTCCCTTACATGCTGTGAGAAATTATCTGAGAGTATCTTTTATTTTTTGTAAAAATTTTAAAGGATTATTTATTTGTTTTTCACAATCTGAGGGTATCTTTTAGGTCATTTAATCTGAAGGGTTTGTGCTAACAGCATTGCTCAGGACCTACCAATAATCCAGAAATGGAGAGAATACGGGTCCGGGCTCAGAAGATATGGGGTTCTGATATCTGCCCAGCATGTGACCAGGGCACACAGCTTCAGCTCTCAGTACTTAGTTTGCTTACCTTTTAAATGAGGTGCTGACCTAGATTCTAAGGTCCCACAATTTCCTAATGTTCTATTTTTCCTCCTTCTTACTAAATTGCATGCCTGCCCCTTTCCCCTTTATCAGCCCCTTTCAGAGTGTAGTCACATACCTGAAGAAGCTCCTCGTATTTTTCAGGATCCTCCTCCATCAGTGTCCTGATCTGGTTGTTGTAGTGATGTGCTATGGACTCTTCCACGGCCACAGTGCAGGCCATCGCTCCTTCCCTCCCAAGCAGGGCAGTTCCTGCGCCTGGAATTGTCAAAGCCAGAGCAGTGAAGGAGGGGACTGACACCGTTAAAGTAGAGCAGTACAAACGTTGGGGCTGGATAATCAGTCCCTTGTTGTGAGGGCTGTCTCATGCATCGTAGTATGTTTAGCACCAACCCTGGCCTCTACCCACGAGATGCTGGTGGCATTCCCAGATATGACACCCAAAATGTCTTTAAATATTGCCAAGTGTCCTCAAGAGCAATGTGACCCCATGAAAACCACTGTTTTAGGTGGTACCAGGTCACAGTGTTAAACCTTGACTAATGCAATAAGAAGGCTATTCTTTTTTCAACGTTCTCCCTAACTGACTGTGGCAAGGAGAAAGTTGTACTTTGGGTTATGCCTTTGATTCTCTTATACTATTTACTTTTCTCCCTTTTTAAGAGTGAGCAACTTTGTCAGGAAACATTATCTGGCTACAAGTTTTGTTTTCCCCTGTGTTGTATCTATTTTTACTGTAGCTCTTATTTATAAAACTACTGATTTTAAGGTTTTATCTTAAATAAATTTAAGAGGGAAAAAAGTCAGCCAATTTAACTTCAGAAAAAAATTAAGTTAAAAAAAAAAGACCATAAAAGAACACAGCAAGAACTGTGAAGTGGCACCTAAAGGATATGTTCATCCCAGACCTTCCAGCTCCCACAAGCCCTCTGGACAGGCACGCACCTAGCGCAAACCCCACCACGTTCCAGAGGGGCATCAGAACCGTCGGCCGGACCCTGAATGCAACCATCAGTTCGCTGAACTTTTTCAAGTGGTCCTTTTCTTGATCCCACATTTTCTGTAAGAAACATAACAATAAGAACATGTAGGCATCCCATGCAGGCCACCGCTGTATCCCAAGGAAGCTACATGTCCTATCCATGACCATGATTCTAGCAGAAGCCCTCAGACCCACAAAGTGCCTATTAAAAAAGGTGGAGCCATATTTATATGAGCTGTTTATTAGCTCATTTAAAATTAGGAGGGCAGAATATCAGGTATCACATAATTTCCTTCCAGATTGCTAGCATAAAAGTATCACGTACATCAGAGAAGAAAGCGTGGATGATAATAACAGCTAACACACAGCACTTCCTAATGCCAGGCACGGTCAAATAGTTTAATGTAGGCAACTCATTTAAGCTGCACAACCACTTTGTGAAGGACAAACCATTATTATTCCCATTACACAGATGAGGAAAGTGAGGCACAGAGAGGTGAAGTAACTTGCCTGAGGATTCAGAAAAGGCAATTTAACTCATGCTGAGTGTCTATTACATGCCAGGCATGGTATCAAGCTGCTCTATACCAGCCATTTATTCCTCACCAAAACCCATTGAGGTAGGTGTCATCAGCCCATTTTGCAAATATGGAAATGAAGACCTATAGGCTATGTGACTTCCCCAAGGTCACACAGTAGCGGGTGGGAGAGAGTTGACTGTGAAGCTGGGTCTGTGTGAGTACAAAGTGAGGTCTCTCCTGCTTCTCAGTATAAAATACCTCCGCAGCTCTCCCCTGGGGGCAGGAGTGCAACCTCTCAGCAACTGGCACTTTTGCCTAAAGCCGTTTCTCAACCCCTTTTTCTTTTTAAATATTTTTTATTGATTTCAGACAGAAAGAGAGAAACATCAATGATGAGAGAGAATCGTTGATCAGCTGCCTCCTGCACACCCCCTACTAAGGATTGAGCCCAAAACCTGGGCATGCGCCCTTGATTGGAATCAAACTCAAGACCCCCCTTGCCCTCACTGGATAGAGCATCAGCCTGCAGACTCAAGGGTCCCAGGTTTGATTCTGGTCAAGGGCATGTACCTTGGTTGCGGGCACATCCCAATAGAGGGTGTGCAGGAGGCAGCTGATCAATGTTTCTCTCTCATCGATGTTTCTAACTCTCTCCCTCTCCCTTCCTCTATAAAAAAATCAATAAAATAAATTTTTTTTTTAAACAAAGAAATCCAAGACCCTTCAGTCTGCAGGCCGATGCTCTATCCATTGAGCCAAACAGGCTAGGGCTCAACCCCTTTTTTATTATAATCCACCCCCACTATAAAAATTTACTACTACAGATATACCATATTATCTGTTTATGTACTAAGCTAGAGGCCTGGTGCACAGATTCATCCAGGGCATGCACGGTCCGTCCGTCTCCCCGAGTCCCAATCGGCCAGACCCCAGCAGCAAGCTAACTTACCAGAGTGTCTGTCACCTGGTGGTCAGTGCACATCATAGCGACTGGTAGAACAGTCAAACGGTCAGACACTTAGCAATATTAGGCTTTTATTATATAGGATGTCCATCTGTGCTCTATACGTAGAAAGAATAATATTCTTTCCACTCTTCTCTCCCAAATATCCAATTTTTACTCATTTGGGGACAAAGAGTATGTCTCTTAGGAATACATGACCTGATATGATTCACTACTTGAAGGCCTTTGGGTCCCCACCCCAGTAAGCCCTGTTCAGTGGACCAGGCTGAGAGACATAAAGCAGCGCCTACCTGAATGACTGGCCCGACACTTGTGCGACCCAGGACGGCCATCTGCCCTGCATAGATGCGGTTTGCTCCATATTCACCTGCATGATCCACACGGATAATTCGATCCACAGCTGCCCGATTGATAGTGTCTAAAGTCATTCTTGAGCTGCAAAATCTGACACTGATTCTTCTTCCATAAGCTGCAATGCAAGTGTTTATTCTTCATTACTCTCAAGTAAAATTGAGATGTTTCTTTTTACAGACGGAAGGAAGCGGTATCTTAGAACAAAGGTAACAAATGAATTCCCCTTAGTTGACATGCCCTTACGTGTATTGTTTATCCTGCAGTACTGGTTTTTAAAAGAAGTGACTGTTACCTACATTTAAATCAAAAGACTTCACCTAAACATCTGGATTTCTGGTTAAGTGTATGAAGATATGGAAATGCTGAGTCTAACTTCTCCTAAGGCAGTCAATGAGGCAGCTGGCTGGAGATAGGCTTGGTTACCTAGTTCAGTGGTCGCAAACTGGTGGTCTGGGACCACTGATGGCCCGTGAGGCCCGGAAGGTTGGCGCCCACCACTCTAGTTCACTCACCCCTCAGGGCCCACTTCGTTCCCAACCCTGGCTACACAGAACCTTCTAGAGGGCTTTCAAAATCATGAATGCTCCTCCCCAATTAACTTCTGGAAGGGGACACTGATATTTTAAAAAAGCTCTGTATCTTCTCTGCAGCTAAGGTTGAGAACCATAAATTTAAATTCTCTTAAAATACCCATATCCATAAGCATCTGATTTTGAGAAATAAGCTTTAGAACTTAGGTTTCATCTCATTATGGTACAGATCCAATTCAACTGAATTATTCTTGCCTTCAAAATGTAAATTCTTCAGGACAGATTAGATATTGTCTTTAAAAAATTGCTAATAGTGACACCTGGATTTGTATTCTGAGCATCCCAAAAGGTTTTCCCCTGAGGGAAGAGTTTTGTAATGTGCTTAGGTATGTACATTGTCATCAGTCCATTTTGCAGACCTGGAAATGGAGACCCAGAGAAAATATTTAGTTTGTCAAGTGAACTTTAACCAGCATTGGAATCACCTTGAGATGTGTTCCAAGCCTTATGTATGACAACCATGTCTTTCTGTCTTTAACAGATATTTTTCTTAACTTCTTTATAAAAAAAATTTATTTTTTACAGAGAGAAAGAGAGAGGGATAGAGAGTTAGAAACATTGATAAGAGAGAATCATCAGTCAGCTGCCTCTTGCACACTCCTACTGGGGACGTGCCCGCAACCAAGGTTGATCAGAATTGAACCTGGGACCTTTCAATCTGCAGGCTGATGCTCTATCCACTGAGCCAAACCGGTTTTGGTCAGATATTTCTCATTTAGTCTAACTTCAACACCCAGAAAATGTGTGGAAAATTCCATTTGAGGTATTATACATTTGTAGTTTTTTTAATTAAAAAGCTTGAATGTTTTGGACATAAGATGATGGGTCAACTATTCTGCATTTTAACTTTTTGGCCAGGTGGAGTTTAAAATGCCCCACTAAACACAAGTGTGGGTGGGCATGGAGTCTGAGGCATGGTGACCCAGCTTTGGTCTACTCCACCGCGTAATCTGCTCCACCTCACTGAGCATATTTGACTCAAGAAACTAGACTCCAGTTCCTGCGCTCCAAATTCTGCCAGGTATAATGTACTACTCAGTTCTCTGCCTTCTGACAATGGGTCAATGTTAACTGTGGCCATATTTTTATGAGGAGAACAATTTGAGACATTTGATCAAGTCAAGGTAGCCTCTTGCAAGTTTCTGCCTCCCAGTCCAAAGACTAGACGCCCGATGCACGAAATTCGTGCAAGGGGCTCAGCCCTCGCAGCCCCCGCTGCCTCACAGCCCCACGGCCATGCCCACTGGTCCTTGGGGAAGGTCATTCTGCTCTCTGGTCTAATTAGCATATTAACTCTTTATTATATAGAATGGGCAAAAATTGATCCAGGAATTGACACTGCAAATGATGAGCTGGCTCTACTTCTCAAATTAATCTTGTTTGCTTGTTCTTTCTTTTGTTACCCCTGCCTCCCCATAACATGTCAATGGGAAAGAACTTTACAGACAACTCATTAAAAAAAAAAAAAAAAAACCACAAACTAACATACTTTTTAAAAAGTACATAGGATGAATTCCAACACACAGCTGACTTTTTCTGAGTAGGATTATATTTAGATTTAAAATATACTAGATCGTCGAAACCGGTTTGGCTCAGTGGATAGAGTGGTGGCCTTCGTACTGAAAGGTCCCAGGTTCGATTCCAGTCAAGGGCATGTACCTTGGTTGCAGGCACATCCCCAGTCGGGGGTTTGGAGGAGGCAGCTGATCGATGTTTCTCTCTCATCGATGTTTCTCTCTATCCATCTCCCTTCCTCTCTGTAAAAAAAAAATCAATCAAATGTATTTTTTTTAATTGTTCCCTAGGCCTGTACTACCTTTCCAGATTCAGACATCTAATAAATGATCCAGGGTGAGAGGTAACGTGGAGAATTGAGTATCATAACATTTGCCATTTCTATCTTTTCACAATCTTTGCAAGTGTCTTTAGTAAGTTTGAAGGGACCTTAGAAAAGGCATAGAGCTAGGGCCAGAAAATATGTTTTGTCTCCATCACTAACTTTGGACAAATCAGAATTGCCATTTCTTACTTACAAATTGTTAATAATCAGATTATTTTCCTTTGAAGGGAAACATACAATAACAAAACTTTTCTTACTGAGATACCATGAAGATAAAATGAGATATAGGAAGCAAGGTAACTTTATAAATGAAAAAAAGATTCTTATTCTGTTATGCCCACTGGCTCAACAAAGAAGCATTACAATTCATGTTCAACAATCCTGAGTTTTGCCTGTATTATCACACACTTTAAAAAAAAAACTACAAACTTGAGGACCAGTGGTTGAAGCTCTCAAATGCGTCGTTTTTATATTTGTGTTTTCCAAAGTGTGAAACATATACCAATAATGTTACCCAGAAGATTTTAAGTGGTATATGGGAAGATCTTACATGGTTTATGATCGTACATTAAATATTGCCCATGTGGTAAGAGTTATTATTCTCTTTTAAATTCTCTTCCAGCCCTTTTGATTTAACCAAGGACAATGGTTAATTTGTCAGCTATTTATAGCTGACAAATCCTAACACTTGGTAATCTCCCTTTCAAAACAAATTTTTAAATCCTCACCTTGGGATATTTTTTCATTGATTTTTAGAGAGTTGAAAAGACAGAGAAATATCGATGTGAGAGAAACACATCAATTGGTTGCCTCATGCAACTGAGGTACATGTCCTTGACCAGATTTGAACCCAGGACCATTTGGTCTGCAAGCCTACATACCCATGAGCAAAATCGGCTAAGGCTAATCTCCCTATTTTACCAGGAAAAAAGATGATCTTGGACTCGGGTCTTAGTAGGCCACAGCACCTAATACATTTAATAACTTTTTGGTTTCATTGTATTGATTATTTGATGATTACTTGATTTGGGTCAGGCAGTATGGGCCTTCTGTTTATCATAAGGATTTACTTTCCCTGAAAATACTTAATTTAAAAAATGGAATACGGTTATAAAATATATTTAATAATCAAAAGTACAAGTGGTATTGCTGTTAGGCAAAATCCTGAAGGTGGTACACGAATGACTTCACTTGCAGAAAGCGACCTCACAGTTTTCTGAGGCCGCTCAGATGATCCAAGAAAAGAAGCTAGGACCCAAAACCAAGTCTCCCTTCTGCAAATATGATGCTCCTTCAACTACCCTTGTGCTTCTCAAAATTTCTAATGTACACAGTCCATTCCAAGAGCGTGTTAAAATACCACAGACTGCCGAAACCGGTTTGGCTCCGTGGGTAGAGCGTCAGCCTGCGGACTGTAAGGTCCCGGGTTTGATTCCTGTCAAGGGCATGTACCTGGGTAGCGGGCACATCCGCAGTAGGAGGGGTGCAAGAGGCAGCTGATGGATGTTTCCAATTCTCTCTCTCTCCCTTCCTCTCTGTAAAAAAAGTCAATAAAATATATTTTAAAAATAATAAAATTTAAAAGATAAATAAAATACCACAGACTGGTAGAGCACCCAGCAGGTCAGTGGAGGGACCTGGAAATCTGCATTTCTAACAAGCTCGGGGTGGGGAAGGGGGCAGCAGACAAGGGTCGCGTAACAAGGCCCTGAGCGGAGGCAACGAGGACACCCCCGGGCACTGAACTTTCAAAACCCGCAACTGTCCTCGGCCTGGGACCCCGACCCCTGCAGTGACTGCCGGCACAGGTGTGCAGTTCCCCAAAGGGCCAGCCCTGAGAGGCGGCTCCTGGAAGTCCTGGCGGAAAACCACGCCCGCATCCCCGCGGCGCACAACAGCGCCCCCTAGCCGTCGGCACCCCGAGGTTCAAGCCTCGCAGTCGCGCTCCGTCGCAGTCCTATGACGTTACCGTAAACGTCTCCCCCGTGACCTCGCCGGTCCAAACCCCAGGCGTACACACCCGGGCGGGAGTCCCGCCCAGCGCGGGGCCGCGGCCGCGCTCCCCCTTTACCTGAGAGGGGTCGCGGGGCTCCGAAGCACAGCCGCCACAGGGAGCCAGACGCCATCAATGGGGCGCAGCTCATTGTCGGCGACAACAAAGCAACGACTCCCTGGGGCGAAGCAGGCCAAACGTGCCCTTGGCGCAGGCGAATGACGCAAGACCGACGTAGGGAGGACGCTGTCCGCATCTGCATCAGTGGTAACGCCCCAAGGCCGCTGCTTCCATTCGATTGGTTGGAAATCGCACATAAAAATATCCTATTGGATGCAGTCGCTTAGGGGGGCGTGGCAAAGGAACCTTGGGTTACCGTGGAGGTGAGAAGGCTAAATTGCTCCTCCAAAGATGTGACAGGGTAAACATTCTTTAAATTACATATTTTTTTTTAATTTTTTAAATTACAGTTGAATACAACATTATATTAATTTCAAGTGTAAAACCCCGTGATTAGATATTTGACTTCTGAAGTGATCACCTTGATAAATCTAGTACCCATCTGATACCATATGTAGTTATTACAATACTGACTGTATTTTGTCATGTTGTACTTTATATCCCCCTATTATATAACTACCAATTTGTACTTATAAATCCCTTCACCTTTTTCTCCCCCAATCCCGTTCCCATCTCCGACAGGGTAAAGATTTCTCAACTAAACTCCTGGGAAAGAGGACTATGAGTGAATTAATTTATTGGCATAGCATTGTACTTTGTGCTTCACTAACAGGGAAAAATATTTTTCTTTATTTTTATCCTACATCCACTTCAAAATAGTAGAAATTATATGCTGAAATTAACTTTACCACATGGCCAAAAGTGTTCTCTCTAGGTATTGGGGCTATTTAAAAGTTCTTCCTATTTATTTTCTCAACTTTAGATTTTCTGTAGAGAGCACATATTATTTTTGTGTCCACGGGTGCCAGTTGGTTTACTGGGCTTTGGGGTGAAGAGAGGAGATTTAGCAACAAATTCTTTTAAAAGTGCATCCCAAAGTGCATTCATGTTTCTCTCCTCCCTTCCTCTCTGAAAGCAATGAAAATGTCTTTTATATAAAGAAAAGTTAATTTAAGGAAGGGGATGGACCAGTAAACAATGTACCACTCTGGTAGGAGATGTTGATAATGGGGAGGCTATGCATGTGGGGGGAGGGGGTACAAATCTTTGTACCTTGCTCTCCATTTTGCTTTGAATCTAAAACTGCTCTAAGAAATTAAGTGTCTAGAAAAAACACAGTTGGAAATGTTTAAAAATGCATATCCACTGATAAAGTAATCCTACTTTTAGTATTGTAGCGCAATATGATCCTTATCGGCCATTGTAAGCCTACCACACAGAACAAAAGACCAGGGAAACGTGCTGGACACCGAGAGTCAGACCATATAGGGAATCGAAACTATTCTAAAGATATCTGATCGCACACCTGCGTTCCAAGCCCACCACCTCAGCCCCCAAACCCACTGATGACAAAAGTTTCCTGCCAGTGACTGCCTGTAAGGATGAAACTCCAGGGTGCTACCATCATCAACCCAATGTCCTTTTGGCTCAGTGCTGTGCAGCTCCTCCCTTTGGCTATCCCATCCTCTATCCCCTTTCCTTAAATAAATTACATTTTTCTTTTTTTAAAAGATGTGTTTTCATTGATTTGAGAGAAGGAAGAAGGTGAGAGAGAGATAGAAACATCAATGATGAGAATCATTTATCAGCTGCCTCCTGCACGCTCTACACTAGGAATTGAGCCTGCAACCCAGGCTTCCCTCGAAATCCTGGCTTTGTCCAGAAGGATATCCAAAAGGACATCCGGTCTAATTAGCATGTTATGCTTTTACTATATATTATAAGTATCTAATATATATGCTTTTACTATATATGGATATAGTAAAAGGATAATATATATAATCTTTTATCCAAATAACTATAAAACATGTAAGGAACACTGCTCTTGTAAAATAATTGAAGTTGCTAGTTGTTTTCAAATCACTTTAATACATTGCAGTCATTTAAACTTATGATGAATAGTTTTTAAACCCAAATACTTAATGAAAGAGAGTGATATAACATTTTCATCTAGAGCTCCTAAGATTGTAAATCTGGCTCTCAAAAGCATTAAAATGTTCTGACTTTTGTTGTAATCCCATTTCTAGGTTTCTATCTCTAAGAAGAAAAATGTTGACAAAGATTTATGGATGACCCAGTTACTTATTATCAGAAAAATTTGGAAACAAAATGTTAAGTAGCAAGAGAATGTTTTAAAGAATTATCTGTACGATGTTAATATTATGCAGTCCACTGAAATGTTTATAAAGAACTTTTAATAAAAGAAAACACGTTAAGTGAAAAAGAAATAACATTTTTTTTTTCCTTTTCATCTTCCTTCCATCCCTTTGTACTTTATCTTAAAAGAAATAAAGTCAAGTTTAACAGTGGCTATCCATAAATATTGCTTATGCATGATTTTTCCTTTTTTCTCCCCCTCTGCAGCTTTCAATGGTCTCTATATTTTCTATAATAAACAAATATTTTTATAACGAGGTACAAAATTTCAAAGAGGCATACTTATCCCTAATTCAATCCTCAAAAACAAAAATGATTGTATCTTATTTTTCTATTTAAAGATAAGTGTTAGGACAAGAAAAATGTCTCTTTTTTCCTTGCCTTCCACAATTTATGAGAAGTACCTGGTAAGTAAAACTCAAGATTGTTAGCTGCTCTGATTCAAACAGCCTCTCATGGCAACATTCTTGCATACCCATACTCCCTACCGTTTTTATAACTCAGAGATAATTCTCACCAAGGCATCTCTAGTTCAGGGGCAGGGAAACTTTTTTCTGCCAAGGGCCATTTGGATACTTATAATATCATTAGAGGGCCATACAAAATTATCAACTTAAATATTAGTCTGATTTGGCCGAAACCAGTTTGGCTCAATGATAGAGCATCGGCCTGCAGACTGAAAGGTCCGAGTTCGATTCCGGTCAAGGACATGTACCTTGATTGTGGGCACATCCCCAGTAGGGGGTGTGCAAGAGGCAGCTGATGGATGATTCTCATCTATGTTTCAGACAATCTATCCCTCTCTCTTCCTCTCTGTAAAAAATCGATAAAATATATTTTTTCAAAAAATTAGTCTGATTTGGCCAAACATTTAATAATTCAGCCCTAATGCCTTGGCAGGCCAGACCAAATGATTTCTCGGGCCTTATATGGCCCCAAGGGCTAGATTTCCCCCACCCCTGCTCTAGTTAGTAGAAAGTTCCCTTTCCCTCTCCCCTTCAAACAAGCCTCTTTGGAACTCTTCATAACTTTTATTCTAAGCATGTTTTATAGGCTTGGGGAAAATACTGATAAAACACCCCCCTAGGACATATGCCCTATCTCCTCAAAAAAACAAACTAAACTACAACAGCTGCCCAATGTCTGTTCAACTTCAGCCCCCCAAATCCTCCTCCCTTTCTTGTCACCTACCTGTTTCCCCGAAAATAAGACATCCTCCGAAAATAAGACCTACTTACAGGTTTCCTTCTGAGTGAAATAGAAGGCATCCCCCGAAAAGAAGACCCCCCCCTCCAAGGCTAAACATGAGAGATTTGGTCCACTGATTCTGAAAGAAACAGAGTCACAAGAAATTCATCAGGAAATTCAGGAATTGGATTGTTATGATGATGTTCCAGAAGATGGTGACATGATTGTCATTGAATAAATGAGTAAATTCTTGATACTGTAGGATTCACAGTTTATCTGGTTTGTGTTGACAACTACCGTACTACCATATCGTATACAGGTAATAAATTTCCTTTATTTTCATTTAACAATAAATGTGTACTGTATTCTTCATGGAAAAATAAGACATCCCCTGAAAATAAGACCTAGCGCATCTTTGGGAGCAAAAATTAATATAAGACACTGCCTTATTTTCGGGGAAACAGGGTAGTAACAGCAGCCATTACCCTTTATAGGGGGAAACCATCTTTTATTTGTCCTTTTATTGATTAGCAATGCACTAGCCCTTTCCCTTTGTGAAACATTTTATGTTTCACAAAGGGAAAGGGCTAGTGCATTGCATCTGTCAAATGTTCTTTGCATCTGTCTCTTTTCTCCGTTATGAATCCTTTCACAGCCTGTGTCACTGGCCAACCCTAACAATAAGAAATGTTATCCCAGAAAGATGAAGATACCTGTACAAAATCACACAGTTAAGCAAATAGCAAAGTCAAACCATGTCCTAAGCACATCCACCATGCATTGGAAAGAAAACACACCCAATGGAGTTGACTAATAAAGCCATACCTTACACAAAGAAGGTGCATTCAGCAGTTCGATCTGATCTTGCAGTGCTAACCCAGAAAAATCAATTCCTTTCTTTCCCAACACTTCCTTGGGTTTAGCTGCAATCAGATATGTAGCTACAGGAATTCAGTTGGTCAATTTACAAGTTAATCCAAACTAAAAACTTGCCTAATTGGATTCTTCTCTTTCCTGGATGAGACTATCTTGTGACTGAAACTGGTTTGGCTCAGTGGATAGAGCGTCGGCCTGCGGACTGAAAGGTCCCAGGTTCGATTCCAGCCAAGGGCATGTACCTTGGTTGTGGGCACATCCCTGGTGTGGGGTGTGCAGGAGGCAGCTTGGTCGATGTCTCTCTCATCGGTGTTTCTAGCTCTCTATCTTTCTCCCCTCCCTACCTCTCTGTGAAAAATCAATAAAAATATATTTTAAAAAAAATATTCCGACTACCTGGGTGCAGGTGAGCTGAGACCAGGAAAGGCATCAGCAAAAAGAGCAGGGGGAGATACGTTTTTGTTAATCCTTGCTGGCTGTAAGCCACTCTGCTGACTAAGGATCTGGTCAGTCCTTGGTTCCTCCCAGGCCAGGTGTCTAATGGTTATATGAGCTGTGCTGTGCTCAAGGCTGCAAGCTTTCTGCAAGATATCTGCTAAGCACAATAAGTCTTTCTCTACCCTGTTTTATTCTCTTTAACCCTTCCACTTGGCCTATCAGGAGGATGCTCTAAGCAACTGAGCTACTCAGCCAAGGCCACAATAGAACACCCAAGTAGTGTAGTCCTTGAGTTCAGTAGCACATATATAATGGAATGCCTTTAAAAAGAATGTGGCCGTTACTTTTTGGACAGATCTTTAAGATGTTATTGAGAAAAAAGGGAGAAGCTCAGAAATATGTATTTCATACATTCACATATCTGCCTGAGTATGTATTATAATTTTTCTGGGCGAATAAAATAAACATCGTTAATGGTGATTACCTCTGTGGGGAGCAGAGTGGTAGAGTGACAAGGGGAAGGACACGTAATAAGAATTGTATCACAGCCAAAACCGGTTTGGCTCAGTGGATAGAGCGCCTGCGGACTGAAAAAGGTCCTGGGTTCGATTTCGGTCAAGGGCATGTACCTTGGTTGTGGGCACATCCCCAGTAGGGGGTGTGCAAAAGGCCGCTGATCGAGATTCTCTCTCATGGATGTTTCTAACTCTTTATCCCTCTCTCTTTCTCTCTGTAAAAAATCAATAAATTAAAAAAAATTGTACCACAGTTGTTTAATGATTATTTACCTTACTAACCGTTAGGAGTGCCGAAGGAGAAAAGCACGAGGCCAAAAGTGGTAAAGAATAATAAATTTATTAAGTCATCTGGAAACCAGTTGCATGGAGCCCCGAAATGTTTCCAGCACCCAGGGACAGGGAATCAGAAGTTTTAAGAGGCTCTAGGCAGGCTCTCCTGGCAGGACTCTGGGCAGACCCAGATCCTAGGAGAGTCCGGAGGGGAAAGATAACCATCTTAGCAAGTGGAATGTCCGTTGTGAAATGGTCTAAAGGTCCGTTTTACAGGGGATGGGTATCAATTCAATTTTTTGATGAGACCTAGCACTAACTATAGATAAAATGACGTTTTCTTACAAACCCTGGGAAACTGAAGGACATGTTGAAAAAAAAAAATTTTTTTTAATATATTTTAAAAGCAGATCAAGGCCTGGCTGGCGTGGCTCAGTGGTTGAGCATCGACCTATGAACCAGGAGGTCACAGTTTAATTCCTGGTTAGGGGACATGTCAGGGTTGTAGGCTCAATCCCCAGTGTGGGGCGTGCAGGAGGCAGCCAATCAGTGATTCTCTCTCATCATTGATGTTTCTATCTCTCTGTCCCTCTCCCTGAAATCAATAAAATATATTTATAAAATAACAAATAAAAGCAGGTTAAGGACAGGACACGCTTTGACTTGGTTGCTGTGCCTAGGCCATGACCCCCTCCAGGCTTTGCCTCAGGAATGCTGACCATTCTCCAGTCCCAGGAATGGGCTGAGCTGTTTGAAACATCAGAGATAAGTCAGCTTGTTGGACTTCAAGGTCCTGAAAGCTAGATTGCAGACGTGACCCTCCCCTTTTCCCTGTTACACTGTTAGCTGCAGGTCGACCTTCCTCACTGGAGTATAATCAGCCAGCTGGCAAAGGGGTGAGGGTGGGGTCAGAGCAGAATCTCCAGGATGACCTGCTGCTCTCCCCATACTACGGGCATTATTGGAATAAACGTCCATATATGATTCAACTGTCTCTGCTGAATTTGGCTCAAGTAGTGATAGGCAGTCTCGGACCTGTTTAGTGTCCAGTATCAGGGAGAGCACTTGAAATAATTTTATCTTTTAAGTTTAAACCATACACATACACCCTTCCACACACAGCTTCAGCAGAGCCAAGGAGTCATCAAAACAGTCATCGGATCATCTCCTACAATTAAACACTTCTTTTTTTCTCTCTGATTCTAGGGAAAGACTTTACGAATTTATAATTGACCGTGCTCACTTGATTACTGACAAGAAACCTCGGTGAATTCAAATATACACCATCGGCGTTGGTGGTATAGTGGTGAGCATAGCTGCCTTCCAAATATACACCATAACATTGAAAAACCTTCAAGATGGTTTAATCAGTAGTTTTCATGCACATTTGTTAGTGAGAGCTGCACTTGAATGATTATACAGACATCACTTAAAGTTATCAAAATACATATATCAAAACTTTCAAGAGGTATGTAAATTAGCATTTAAAACAAATATATTAGCATATTTCAGTATCATTTTTATAACAGGGAAAGAAAACAGAGCTTCCATCTCCCCCCCCCCTCTCTCTCTCTCTCTCACACACACACACACACACACATTAGGTAGAAATGGCCCAAATTGGAATTTTTTAGAAGTGAGGGTTGCATGAACTTTGTTTACTCAAAATTTCATGATCCTAGTTTATAGACCTAGAAAATCATAAACCTTAACGAGAGAGAAAAGGCTTGAAAGACTCACTGGTCTCACTCACGGGTACAAAAATATCCCATGTTCGCGCTCACTTTGTAGAAGGAAAGTAACTGACCCGGGGCAAAGGGACAAGCCTACAGCAACGGGCAGGCCTGTCAGCTGGCTGGCTTCTCGGAGCAGCCATCTTTTTCTAATAAGGGAGGGAGAGGGTGGGGAAATATTCTTAACGGCAGTAGAGTTCTGAAGCCTGCATCCAAGTGAAATTCCAGCTACCCCCAGGAAAGGTTCAGTCCGTGACAGGCAGGCTGCCGCAAACAGTACATGACAAAACAAATGATCTGAAAGTGTGAAAATGAAACCATTGTCACATTAAACAATAACTTAGACTTACGCTAAAAAAGTTCAGACCTATCCATTTCAGAAAGCTTATGCCGAGGTATCGATGGCATCCAGTTTTTACTGTAATTGAAATTACCTTCAGAGGTACGCTGCCTGTGTTGTAACACAAAGGCACTTGTGTTTAAAATTCTAAGCACAAGAAAACCAACAGGAGCCCTGAACGATTTGGATATTGTCTGATTTGCTACACTGGCACAGGCTGGTCTGATTAACAGGCAGGGCTATGACCCATATCCCCAAAAACACGTATGCCCATAAACCCACAACTCAAACACTCAACAGTCTTTCTAGCCTGGCTCTGAAGTGGACAGTGTCCTTCGGAAACAGCAACCTTCGTGCAGGAAAGAAAGTGGCATCTGGAGGACTATCCCTTTTCATGTTGATGGCACGGGGCCCTCTCCCAAGTCTCCAAACTCAGGACTGGAAGGGAACCGAGGGCTTGTGGGTATCGAGCCCCGTAAAGGCACTGTCCCCTGAGTAATTAGGCTGCAGCTAAGAAATCACTGCCGCCTGCAGCGATCCCCTCGGGAGGCTTCCTCGGCCCATCCAGAGGCTGTGACTTGCACAGCTGGCCCAGCTTTTCTCACAGGACCACCCCGTGTGGCCGAAATGACATAGCTGTCCACTCCATGTTCCACCGCGTGTTCCCAAATCATGATTCAAGGCTTTCTCTTCATTAAAATAATAATAATAAAATCAGGTTTCATCTTTAAGTCCACAGAACCGTCCGAAAGGGTCACTGCTTCCTAAGGAACGCTTCTCAGTGTCAACCCCTAGGACCCGGTTTACAAGAATGACCCCAGCCTCGCGAACAGGGGACCCCTACCGTTATCTTTAAAGGACAAAGCAAAGAAGCCCTTAGAAATATAGAAGGTCTCTCCTCCCCCGTTTTTGGTGTAAAAGCTTAGAGGCGTCATACATCAGGTTTTGGCAGTCACCGAGTGGCTGGTCCACAAACCTGCTTTTCTAAGTCCCTAAAGCCCTCCGCAGGAGCCAGGCCACGTACACACGGCCACCACAGCCGCACACATGAAGCCACCTTCAGGAAAGGCCTGGACTCCAGGAAAAGACGCCTTAAAACATCCGCCGAAAAAGCCAGCTGCTCGCTGCAGGCTCGGCAGTTCGCCTCGCCAGCTTATCAACTCGCAGCAGCATCTTCTCATCCGGCTAGTCAGTTCCTCATGTCCCTCTGGGCTTCCGTTAGTTTCTGGATGAGGTAACGCTTGTCGCGGCTTTCCTAAGAAAAAGAAATCGGTTCCAGAGTCCATTCAATATATACTTAGAAACAAATATCATGATTTCAACCTACTAAATCACCTACCAGACACGAGGCCAAGGATGCTAAACATTGGACGATAGTAATGGCCTGCAGGCGGGTCTGTCCCTTTCACTCTGGCCCCCACCACAGCCCCTTGTCCAAAGAATGGACAGTGACCTTTAAGAAATGTCCATCAGACTTCTACTTCACGCCCTCCAGTGGCTTCCTATCACAGTCAACTCCACCTAAGCTTCCGATCAGACCATCAGGCTATGCTGTGACCCAGCTGCAAATCCGCCTCATCTCGCCTCTCCAGCCCCACCACTCCCTCCCTCCCTGCCCCCAGGAGTTCCCACCTCATTTCTGCACTGTGGCCTCTGCCTGCTCCTCTCATCCCTGAGGCCTCCCACAATCAGCTCCTCCTCATTCAAGTCTGAACTGCAAGGTCATTACCGGCTTCAGCAGCAAATGGCCCACTTGTCACTTTGCCTCGCTCGTATTTTCTTCTCAGCGGTTACTGCTATCAAAATTTATTTTTTCTTTAACTACTTAGCAATCCTTTCTTCTTCACCACTGTATACCACAGCACAGTATGAGGCACAGATAGTGCTTACTATATATGCTGATGGAATGAATGAGTCGGGAAATGAATGAAGCTGGCGGAGGGCTGGCTTGAAGGCAGAGTTTGGGGGAGTGGTGGTGAGGGAGGGACAGCAGCATTCCTGGGAAAAGGGCTATTTTCCATTAGATGTCCTGGCGAAATGTCCCCCAGCCGTGGCCCCCTGGGCCTGCATGTTTCCTTACCAGGGACAGCTGCTCTCGGAGCTGGACGACCACCCGCTTATGCGCTCCGGCCAGGGCAATGAAGTAAAACATAACGAGGCTGCAACACAAGGGGAAGTGGTCACTAGGGTGTCTGTATCATGTAAAGGCCACTTAGAAAAACAACTTTCACCTGCAGTAGATTTACTCATTAGAAAAAGAAAAGACAACCCACACCTCTTCCAAACAGGGCAACGAAACAGTCGGAGGGGTGAAGGATCGCTGTGCAATCCCTCTGGCCTCAGTTTTTTCATCTGTAAAATGGGGATAATACAGTAAAACCCAGGGATATCAAGCCTAAGATAATACAATTTTGAATAAAAGCAATTGGCAACCGGCTCCTGTTTTCTGTGCAGCCCTAAATCTCAAATGTGGGGAAGAGGGGGTGGTCATTGAAGTTAGTATCTTTGGGGAGTGGGGCAAATGGTGTGGAGGAAAACAGCAGGCAAACTCATTATAATACATGAAGGGAGGGTGGTTTCCTGTCCATTCTCCCCAGATACGGCTGAGGAAATGAGGGCCACTGGAATCACTGTTATGATCGATCCTCTCCTGGAAGTCCCCACGGCCAAGGACAGGAAAAGTCCCCAAAGATGCTGAAGCCAGATCAGGTAACCACCACCAGATGGTGCCAGCCAGACCCCAGCTGGGATGAACGAATTAGGATGGAGGAGCTCCATCCCAGGATCCTCAGATGCAGGCTGGATGGCTGCCCCGCTCCCCAGGCCATTTTATTTATCTCATCAAAGGATCCTGCCTTTCACAGATAACTTTGGGGCCCACTTCTTGCATTGTGGTGGGGTTTTACTGTACAATGTTCACATCACAGGGTAACTGTGATGCTTTCATGTGTTAATACACGTAAGCTACAATCAATTCCAGTTATCTGTGGCCGTCTCTAGAGTCTCCAGGAACACTGAATTAGTGAATTCTGGACCAATGCCCTTAGAGGAACTATAGGCTTAGGTTCTGATGGTCACAAGATTTTTCTCAACTGATCAATACTTGGTCTTGCCTTTAGCTGGTTTGGCTCAGTGGATAGAGCTTTGGCCTGCGGACTGAAGGGTCCCAGATTCCATTCTGGCCAAGAGCATATACCGGGGTTGTGGACTAGATCCCCAGTAGGGAGCGTGCCAATCAATGATTCTTATCATTGATGTTTCTATCTCTCCCTCTCTCTTCCTCTCTGAAATCAATAAAGAAATACATTAAAAACAAACCACTTTGTCTTATGTTTTTTGTTTGTTGAGAAAGGTTATCCATACATAATCTTGTTTCTGTTTAAAGACATTTAATATTCATTAACACTGAACTTAACAGCCAACAGCACTGTAACTCATGACTGAACGAAGCTTATCTAATATACGGATTATCTCTGCAAAGCACATCACAGCTTCTTGCACGTAGGAACACTAGACAGCACGTCAGCATTACAGTTGGGGCCTTCAAACAGTGAAATCACCAACCAAAAGCATAAAATGATAGAAACACAGCACTAACTAGATTGCAGAAAGGGCACTTGCTTATGGTGTGAGAACTGGAATCAGACGGCAGTGTACGTAAGGCCTTGTTTCACCTCAGCTGGGAAGGTGCATGCGATGGTCTGAATATTTGTGTCCCCCCTGAATTTACATGTTGGAATCCTAATGCCCAATGCGACAGTGTTAGCAGGTGGAGCCTTTGGGAGGTGATTATGTCACGAGGGTGGAGTCCTCAGTATTTGGATTAGTGCCCTGATAAAAGGGACTAGATAGCCCCGTGGCCCCTTCTGTCCTGTGAGGACACAGGGAGAAGTCTGTGAGCTGGAAGAAGGTCCTCATGCAGCCATCTGGCACCCTGATTTGGGGCTCCCAGGCTCCAGAACTGTGAGAAATTCCTGTTGTTTATAAGCCATCTCATCTGTGTGCCATTTTATTAAAGCAGCTTGAACAAACTAAGAGACAGTGCAGGGCAAGAGACTCAAATGACCGTGAAGACTGCTGCGAATACCAACCAATTCTGAGATTTCAAAAAGCTTTTAGTGAGTGGACACAGGGACATCTCAGGAATAAAACACACAGACTCCATGAATAATGAGGACCCACTGTGATTAGAAAAATGCGTAGCATGCAGTAAGCCCTCAGTACACATTTGGGATTAGAATTATGTTAACACTCAATATGAATCACTGTGTAGCAAGATCCTCGTAACCCTTGCATATAACACTTGTCATTTACTGAGCCTTTAACGGCCAGGTCCTCTGCTAAGCATTTTTTTTTTAATGTGGAATGCTTCACGAATTTCTGTCATCCTTGCTCAGGGGCCATGCTAATCTCTGTATCATTCCAATTTTAATATATGTGCCACAGAAGCGAGCACTCTGCTAAGCACTTTACATGTGTTACCACATCTCCTTATCACAATCTTATCAGGTATGTGCCATTCTTATCCCCATGTTCCAGGTGAGGAAACAGAGGCTCCAAAGGAGATATATATAATGAGCCAAGGCCACTCGGCTTATGTCCAAGTTTATGCTCTTTTCCCTGCTTGATAATCAGTTTCCTTTTCAAAAAGCAGTGGTTTTATAAATAATCAGTAATAGTCATAGACAGCATTTATTAGGTTTTTATATGTCAGGCATTGGGTTAAATGCCTGACGTGTAGGATCTTACTGAACTTGCTCAACGGATCCTCTGAAAGAGTTACTATCCTTAAGCCCATAGTAGAGATGGGAAAGCGAGGCTCTAACATCTAACGTGTAGCAGGTGAGTTCCCATTTCCCCGTGGAGAAAGGCCCAGGTGCTTCCCTGGGAGTTACTCACAGCGGTCCGGGAGGTCCCCACTCACCAGATGATCATGAAGAAAGGCACCGCAAAGGCTTCCGACGTGATGCCGTGGACCAGGGACTGGAGCGAGCTGGGGAAGGTGCTCACCGTCTTGGGGACCACCTCCCAGGTGGTGTTGGAGTTGATGAACGGCCCACAGGCTTTGGAGGAAGGGATGCTGCAGACACAGACCACGGAGCTCATGAGGCGGGCTCCCAGGCTGAGTGCTCTGCCTCCACACGCCTACCAGGCTTTGTTACCAGTAACCTTCGAGCAACTGCCTGAGCTCACAGCCTTCTGGAATATTCTGGTCAAAAGTGCTTACCCTGAAATTTCATCAAATCACGAGACCTGACTTCCAATTTACAGGAAATTCAGGGCAGAACAAGTTTAATGACACCATGAGAAAATAATCAGACAAATGCACAATGTGAGGATTCCATTCTCCAGGCTCTGATTTAAGGGTGAGGAAACTGGCCTGGACTCTTCAAAAAAGCAAAGGTTAAAAGAGACATACCCGAGAGCAATGGGTAAAGCTTGAAAGATCCTCATCCTATATAATAAAAGGGTAATATGCAAATTGACTGAATGGCGAACAACCAGAACACCCGCAGCCCCTTGCCCCAGCTGGCCCACCCCCATGGCCCTCACTGGGCAGGCTGGCTGGACCCCTCCAGTGCACGAATTTGTGCACTGGGCCTCTAGTTCTAAAATAAAGCTATGAAAGGCTATTTGGGGACAACTGGAGAAATTTGAAAATGGCAGGACTGTGATGTTAGTATTCATTTTCTTATATGTGACAATGTTATTGTGGATGCACAGGAAGGAGTATGGCCTTATTTTTAGGAGCTTCATCCTCAAGTATTTAGGGATAAACTCATGGTATCTACAACTTAATTTCAAATGGTTCATCACACACAAAAAAAGGTACCCATAGAGAGGAAACAACTATATCAAAATGTCAATAATTGAGGCATCCAGTTGAAGGGTATATGAGCTTTCATTGTGGCTATTTCTTCAACTTTTCCATAGGTTTGAAATTGTTCAAAGTACAAAGTAGGGAAAAAGTAAAACTCTGATGGAAAAAAAGGAAGTTCTGCAAAGAATTGCCCACATTCACATCAAAAAGTTCTGTGTAGAAAGTTTTCCACTGCAGCCCTATTTTTATGGGTAAAAATAAATTCCTGAAAACAACCTAAGTGTTGTATAAGAAAATGGAATCACAATTTATTATTTTTTTAATTTATTGATTGATTAGGAAGATAGATGAAGGGAGAAATAAATATATAAATATGGATTATGTGCCATGTCAACATATGTATTATATTTTAAAAATCAAAGCTAAAAATATTTTAAAAGAGTGAGAATTCTTTATGTACTGTCATGGACAATGGCAAAATTTAAAATTAAAGGGGGGAAAATAAGCTGCCAAACAGGATTATTCCACAGGTAATATTTTAAAAGAAATATATTGTTTATGAATTTCTATAAGTATTCACAAAATGTTAACAGTGGTTACCTAAGAGTGGGATTATGAGGTGAAGAAAAAGAGTAATTTTTCCTCTTTAATTTACACCCTTCTGTACTATTTGAAAATTTTATGTATATTACTGTAACAAACAATAAAATATATATTCAAGTTAGTTAAACAATAAAGTATAAGAGACAGATCCCAAATTGAAGTACTTTAACTTAAAGAAATTAAATTCTATGAGAGTGTAGGTCAGCAAACTAGAAACCATGGACCAAATCTGGCCCCCCACCTGTTTTTTATAAGTAAAGTTTTATTGGAACACAGTCATGTCATTAGTTTATATATTGTCTATGGCTGCTTATGGACACCACATGGCCCTCAGAGCCTAAATTATTTACTATCTTACCTTTACAGAGAAAGTTTGCTGGCCTCTGGTATGAGTGATTACACACCGAGCGAGTGGCATGACCGGGGCTTGAAACCTCAACTTCTGCTCCTCAGTCCAGAGCTGAGCATCTCTGCTCTTTCCAAATTCTAAACCAGACTCTATATTCATATGTTAAATGTCTTCTATGGCACATAGAAGGTGTTAAATAAATGTTTGCTAAGTGCAAATCCTCCACTGAAGTGGCAGGAATATAGGTGACTTCCTGCTCCTTTTTATAATCAGACACAATCCAAATGGGGACTGGAAGAGAAGTCTCAGGAGAAGGGAACTGGATAGGACAGACCCACAACTGGCACTCTCAAAAGTGATGGCCACCCAGCAAGCCCAAGTTCTGGAAGTGGACCCAGATAATCCAGCCACCAGAGGGAGCTTCCAAAGCAAGGACGGGCCTGGCTAAACCTGGAGCAACTTCCTGACCAGAGCTCTGCGGGTGGCACCCTGTGAGCAAAGCCCATAGAAAACGCTAGGGACCCTTCAGCAAAAGGGATCTTGTCAGGAGGCAGGGAACTGTTTTAGAAAACCAAGTGGTACTTACTGTGCCATGCTGATTGTCAGCGGTATTACTGCCAAGCACAGGCCGATCAACAACACCAGCAGGAAGAAGAAATTAGAATTGGATGCTCTGAACTGCTTTCGGGAGGGTCTGCAGGTGTGAAGAAGGCTCACCTCAGGGGAGAGAAAAAAGAGAGGAAGCATTCAGAGTTCAGCTTCCTTGAGGATAAGTGAGCAAGGTCAAGCATTGCAGTGGCAATGTAAATTCGTCTAATCTTTCTACAGGGCAGTGAGCAATCTAGATCAAAATGAAAAATGTTTAATCCAGACCCTAACATTGGGCCAAAATACATGTATGTGGATGTTTGCTGCTATTGTTGTTGTTATCAAGGAACAACTAAACCAGAACAACCAAAATAGCTATCAAGGAGGTGGGGATAGTCCTTAAAGGTTAAAAAGTTACACCTAGCCCTAGCTAGGTTTGGCTCAGTGGATAGAGCACCGGCCTGTGGACTGAAGGGTCTCAGGTTCGATTCCAGTCAAGAGCATCTGCCCTGGTTACAGGCTCAATTCCCAGTAGGGAACGTGCAGGAAGCAACTGATCAATGATTCCCTCTCATCGTTGATGTTTCTATCTCCCTCCCCTCTCTCTTTCTCTACGAAATTAAGAAAAATATGTTGCTTTTTTTTTACAAAAAGTTACACCCACACAACAGAATACCATGTAGCCCCTAGAAAGGAGAAAGCAAGCTTTACATCCTATGTGGTGCTATGAAATGAAAAGGGTAGATTTCACCACTCTGTCCTGTATGACCTCATTTAAGTTTGTTTTAGGTTTTGTTTTGTTTTTTTAGTATTCTTTAACTAGAGGCCCGGTGCATGAAATTCATGCACGGGGGGGGGGGGGGGGGGGGTGTCCTTCAGACTGGCCTGCATACTCTCGCAATCTGGGACCCCTCGAGGGATGTCCCCAAGGAATGGGCCTAAACTGGCAGTTAGGTATCAAGCCTAAATCAGTCAGATATCCCTCTCGCAATCTGGGATCACTGGCTCCTAACCACTCAGCTGCCTTCCTGCCTGTCTGACCATCCCTAACCACTTGTCTGCCTGCCTGGTCGCCCCAACCACTCGCCTGCCTGATTGCTGTAACCACTCTGCCTGCCTGCTTGATCGCCCCTAACCGCCTGCCTCCTCCCCGCCACCACGGCTTCATCAGAGAGGACATCTGGAATGACATCTGGAAGGTCGTTTGGCTGTCCAGTCTATTAGCATATTACACTTTTATTATTTCAGATAGGGGTTTAAATATGTATTAAATGGATCTACAGCCCTGGCCAGGTAGCTCAGTTGGTGAGAATGTTGTCAGATTTGATCCCCAGTCAGGAAACATACAAGAACTAACCAATGAATCCATAAATAAGTGGAACAACAAATCTCTCTCTCTCTCTTACCAATAAATAAAATAAATTGATCTATAATACTCTATAAAAATGTATTTTATTTGAATTCTTATAAGCATATTTACTTTTCCTATATTTTATTTATTTGCTTTTAATTCTCACATGAGATATTTTTTCCATTGATTTCTTTTAAAGAAAGTGGAAGGAAGGGTGAGGAATGGGGGAAGAGAGAGAGAAAGAGAAACATCAATGTGAGAGCAACAGATTGATTGATTGCCTCCCACTTGCACTCCCAATGGGGGGCAGGGAATTTGGTCTGCAGGCCAATGCTGTAATCCTGAGCCTAACTGGCCAGGGAAATTTTCCCTATATTTTAAAATAAGTATTTCCATTGAGGGAAGAAAAGACTTGAAAGACATATCAAATGGGGATGGGGAGAGAGGTATACTAACAGGCATAATATTTCTCTTTAATATTTTTAAATGCTATTATTGGGAGTAGGCTCTGAGCTCTTCTCATTTCAGCAGCAGCCAGAACATCTTGTGAGCAGAGGACACTGAGTTCCAAGGACACTTGGTGCCCTGTGAAGGGCAGCCAGTCAGTCAGGCCTGGAGTGAGTGTCAGAACTTAGCCCAGTGCCCCTGACCCAGGCCATCCCACGCTGTCCTATGCTGCAGGCTGGGAAGTCACTGGCCAACCAATATTTTCGGGAAAGGGAAAAAGTTCCTATGAGCTTTTTCGTCTCTCTTCTTTTTTAAAAAAAATATATTTTTATTTATTTCAGAGAGGAAGGAAGAAGGAAGGAAAGGTAGAAACATCAATGAATGAGAAAAAATCATTGATTGGCTGCTTCCTGCACAACCCACATTGGGGATCTAGCCCGCAACCCGGACATGTGCCCTTGACCGGAATCGAACCTAGGACCCTTCAGTCCACAAGCCGATGCTCTATCCACCGAGCCAAACCAGCTAGGGTTCTATTTCTTCTTTGGCAACTTCAGCCAAATGAAGATTCACAAAGAAAGCATCAGAACATTCTTCAAAGGCCAAAACATCCAGGTAGAAAGTTTGGCCTAATTCAAGGTCCTGCTCCCCATGTTAAGTGGCTCTGGAGTGAGAGAAATCCAGATTCAAATCTAAGGAGTCACTTATAAGCTCTGTGACCTTGGACCAGTTACTTAACCTCTCTGAACTTCAGCTTCCTAAGTGTTCAGCAGAGAAGGGGCACATGGCATTACAATCATCTGCTATTACTATTAATACTATTATTATTTCCGTTTCTGAATCCTCAGGCCTTGGTATTAGAGGTAATCGATAAATGTTTGGCTTGTTAACAAAGGATATCTCTGGAGGAAGGGATGAGAGTCACTGTATACATATCTCTACTGTTTAAATGTTTAATATTGAGCATACACTGCCTCTATAACAAAGAAAAAGAATTTTGGTTACTAAGCCCAGGTAGGCTAGTCATCTGCAGGCCACATTACCTGTTCAGCACTTATTTCAGACACAGTGCCTAGGGCCTGCCAGCTATTGGAGAACCCACACAAATAACTGAGGCCTGAACATCAATTCACGGGCTCCAAAATCCAAACAGAAAATTACACAATTTAAATTAAAAACCACTGCATTTAACATTACCAAAGTGTCCCACTGTCAACTGGTCATAATTGCAACTCAACTCTTAGACAGTTGCATGTAAAAATGACCATTAAATTACAGAAGCAAAGCAACATTTACCAGAACTCTCAAAATTATAAAATGTGAACATCTTTTTTTTCCAGAATAGAAGCATGTATCAAATAAGGGATGTAATTTCGAGGTATCTGACAGAATGTGGGTGAGTTCCAAACACAGGTACCGAATGCTGTGCAAGGTCAAGAATGGTGCCAGGTATCAGTCTGCCATCCCCACCTTCTCCTTACCTCTTTCACGTAGAAGATGATGATGAATTTCACGGTTGCAATGGCAGGGAGGAGGGGCGAGAAAAAGGCTCCAATCCAGCAAATGGTTTGCCCATACACGATGCCCAGAACGTTATCTGGAATGGCAAATTCCTGCTGCCCCCAGCACTGTACCAGCTTCCAGGAGGAGCAGTTCGTCACCAGGAGCCTGGAGACAAAGGGGACAATTTCTCATTCGCACCACCAGCGTCCGCCAAAGCCACAGGACCACGTCCACAAAACAAGGGCCATTTCCTCACAGATCTGAAAACCCGTTAGTCACAAGTCTAGAAGATGCAAAAGACAGTGAATTCTGGAAGTCTCAGATCTACAACTGACCAGCCAAATAAATTTAGAGAAGGCTCGTTTTTCTCATCTGGAACATGGCGTGGGTTTATGACACAATTTAGTTCACGGGGTTGAGGTGACGATAAACAGCATGGGCAGTACCTGTGCACTGGCTTGCCTCTCAGCTCACAAAGTCAAGTGGATCCACACAGAAAATGGCTTATGGAGACCCTACCACCTCGCATGCTGAAGTCCTAGAGCTTCCTACAGACACCCTCGGGCCAGGGGTCTGAGACAAACGCACGCCATCGTTCACTATAGCATTGCCATGTACTCCGAAAAATACTCCGGACAACCTACATGCCCACAATTTGGGCCTGGGTTGACAAATTATAAGCCATGGATACAGTAGTATATTAAATAGTCCTTAAATGAGGAAAATCCATGTGTCCTCCCATGGAAAATTCTTGATGCTTTGTTTGTATGGGAGGAAAAAAGCAAGCTGCCAACCAATCAATGCACCGTGATTCCATTTAAGGGGGGAAATGAACACTTCTAGTAAGAACTAAGTCTATGTACACATGTACTTATGCAAATGACTTTTTACTTTTAAGGACTGCTGGGTCTTCCCCAAATTATTAACAATGGCCATCTCTGAGAAGTGGGATGGGTTTGGGGAGTTAGAGGTTTGGTAACAAATAAGAACTCTCAATATTCTTCAGATTCCTGTATTTATTTAAATTCTAAATATTTACAAAATTTTAACAAGGACATAGTCATGTCATATTTGTATGATGTTTATTTTTAAAAATATTTTTCTTGATTTCAGAGAGGAAGGGAGAGGGAGAGAAAGAGAGAAACGTCAATGATGAGAGAGAATCGGTGATTGGCTGCCTCCAGCATGCTCCCGACCAGGGACCACACCTGCAACCTGGGCATGTGCTGTGATCGGGAATTGAACCATGATCTCTTAGTTCATAAGTTGACACTCAACCATTGAGCCATGCTGGCTGAGCTGTATAATTTTTAAAGGGCAGTTTCTTTTTTGTAACTTATTAAAGTATGTTCTTATTGATTTTTGAGAGAGAGAGAGGAAGAGATACAAACACTGTTGAGAGAAACATCAACATTGATCGGCTGCCTCATGCACACCCCGTGCTAGAGATTGAGCCCACAACCAGGGCATGTGCCCTGGCCAGGAATCGAACAGGTGCCCTCTTGGTGCATGGATAGACAGACACTCAACCCCTGAGCTACACTGGTGGTCAAGGACAGTTTTATTTTTAATGTTTATTTTAAGGTCTTACTAGACTTTCTGACATGCTCACAGAAGTTGTATTTCTGGGTAAAAAGTCTTATTAAGTGAGCAGTGTTTCACTTAAGACTCAAGGAGATGCTGAGAATAATTTAAAAAGTGAGAGAATAGTAATGATAATCATAATAGTGATAGTTAATATTTTGCTGAGCTTCGAAGCATGGAGTGTTCTTAGTACTTTTCTCTGCGTTTTCTCATTTCATCCTCACAATGGTGCTGTGAGGTGGGCACTGCTACTGCCCCATTTCACAGGTGGGAAAATAAGCACAGACCTTCCTTAAATTGCCTGCCCAAGGTCACATGACTAGCAAGTGGCAATGCTGGTGCTTGATCTGGGTCAGGAAATGGGGTGTCCACTGAGGTTGGAGGGTCTTCCCTGACAGGGCTGTGGCTGTGCTGATGGCAGGAAGTCATCCCCATGGAAACCTCACGAAAAACAACATTTCCACTCCTCACACTGCCTTTCGGGGAACCTAATGGACTAAGGCAGTGGTTGGCAAACTCAATAGTCAACAGAGCCAAATACCAACAGTACAACAATTGAAATTTCTTTCGAGAGCCAAATTTTTTAAACTTAAACTTCTTCTAACACCACTTCTTCAAAATACTCTCTCCCAGGCCACACTCAAGGGGCCAAAGAGCCACATGGGGCTGGCAAGCCGTAGTTTGCCGACCACAGGACTAAGGGGTTGATGGCCTGGAGCTGTTTGAAAGTCACCGGATGGATGTCAGTGGTTTCCAGGCACTGTGAACTCATCCAGCGCTTTCTGGAGAGCAGCTGCGAGAGGATCCTCCAGTAGGGGTAGGGGTGGCAGGAGTGGGGTAGTAAAGGGGGGAGGGGTACCCCTCACACTTACTTTCTGGGAAAATCCACAAAAAGTGTCCCAGCCAAGATGATGATGAAGTCAAAGATCATCAGCTTGTACATTTCCTGCCCAACTTGGGTTTCCCAGCACTAAAACCAGAGACAGGGAGAGACAATGAGACAAGACCCAAGGCAGAGGAAGCCAGCTTCTCAGACTCCGCCCAGTGCCCATCCTCTTCCCAGACCCTGTCACCTCTGGAGGCTGTCAGCTGATGCTCCCCTGAGCTCCGGCACACCCGGTTTCCAAGCCTTAGAAGGGCCTGGTGTGCCAGACTCTGTTACACAGTGAGAAAGCGGATCAACGGGAATTCAAACCCATGCCTTCAAGGTTCTTCTCTCAACCCTGAGACTGTTTCTCCGAAAGGACCCACTCAGCAGGACTCTCCCGCTCCCCCAGCCTCACCGGGTAGAGTTTCTGGTTGTAGCCACAGAGCTCACACGAGTTGTTATCACAGGATGTAATCTTGGAGCCCAGGGTGAACACCAGCACACAGATGGTCGCCAGCCGCATGAAGACACACCTGCAGGAAGAGAGGAAGAGGGGGGAAGGGAAGAGGAGGCCCTGGGGCAGGCTGGGCCCTTGCAAGAGAGCTAGTGGGCAAAGAAGCCGCCTTTCTTAAAAGCAAACTCACAAATGGGTAGAGTTTCCGTTTGGGATGAGGAGCAACTTCCGGAAGTGGGTAGTGGTGATGGTGGCTTAGCACTTAATGCCACTGAGTTGTACACTTAAAAGTGGCAAATTTTGCCCATCTGGTGTGGCTAAGAGGCTGAGCCTTGACCCATGAACCAGGACATGGTTAGATTCCTGGTTAGAGCACATGCCCAGGTTGTGGCTCCATCCCCAGTAGGGGGTGTGCAGGAATCAATGATTCTCTCCCACTGATGTTTCTATCTCTACCTCTCCCTTCCTCTCTGAAATAAATAAAATCATGTTTTAAAATGGCAGATTTTATGCTAATATGATACCACGATTTTTTAAATGGCTAAAAAAAAAAAATAAGAAAACTAAGGCCTCCTTAATCTATGGTGTTTTAGCCATGGTATAGAACATTTTACATTTCTGGGGGAGGGAAGGGAATACTAATTGAATCTTATAGGCATCGGCTTTGAGAGATGTCTGATATATTGAGAAATGAATAAAGCATATTGCACAGTTTCGTATAGATACGAATCTACCTTTTTTTTTTTTTTTTTTTTTTTTTTAATGTGGATGTTGGCATGAGCAGATGAGGGCTGCCTGGGGTAGCTGGATTCAATAAAGGAGGGCAGAGAGTACTATTGTTTTTTTTAAAAGATGCTTTCTATTATGTGGTTTGTAATTTTTTTAAAAGACATTAAAAGGTGGGCGGTCGAAAAAAGCATGTCCACACCATTGGCTCACTCTTTGCAGTGGGCAGCGTGCCACCTGACACTATGTGCCTGGTGGTAAGATAAGAACCCAGAATCTATAACGAAAAACTGAACAAAATATAATAAAAAGCGTGAACCTACCCAGTAGTTTACCATGACTATGGTACAGAAAAACAATACACTGTGAAAAAACAATGAACTAAATGCTGACTACAGGGCATTCTACAGGACAAATGCCCCTGTGCTCCCCACAAGTCAATAGTATAGCACAAGGGGAAGGAGAATTGTTTAAAGAATAAAAAGGGCATACAATTCTATAATACATACCTGTATATTGTAGTGTGTGTTCATCACCCAAGTCAAGTCCCCTTCCATCACCACTTACCTCCCCACCTTCCTTTCCCTTTGGTAATCACCATGTTGTACAAACCAGGGCCCCACCCTACGCCCTGGTTTGAACAAATCAATCATACAAAGCCATCTGCAATTCCTTCAGGGAACTGACAATTTTATTAGGGGGTCATGATGGTCATATATATATATATTTTTTTAAATCCTTGACACTTAAGAGATATAGCAAAGTGTTAACAGGTAAAATGACATGTCTCCTGAGATCTGCTTAAAGCAATCAAGCAAAAGAGGGGGGGGGGGCACAGAGGGGAGGGAGTGTTGAGGAAGGGTGAGGTGAGGGGGGAGATGAAACAAGACTGACAATACGTTAGTAAAGGAAACTAAGTGACAGGTACATGGGGGGTTCATTATACCATTTGTTCCGTTTAAAATTTTTCAAAATAAAAATATTTTTTAAAAATATGCAAATGGTCCTGGTTGGGTGGCTTAGTTAGTCAAAGCATCATCCTGTATACCAAAAGGTTGCAGGTTTGATTTCCAGTCGGGGCACATACCTAGATTTCTTGGGTTCAATCCCCAGGTATGGGAAGCAGCCAATTGATGTTTTTCTCTCACATCAATGTCTCTCTCTCTCTCTCTCTCTCTTTCTCTCAAATCAATATAAACATATTCTTGGGTGAGGTAAAAAAAAAAAATGCAAATGTAATCTGAGGCATTTGAGAAGCAGCAAAAAATGCTCACATCACATGATCCCCACCTGGTCCTCTCCAACTCATTTGTGTTAACTTCCTGCACCCTGCTTCATATCTGTCATTTTTTTTAAACGAGAGTATTTATTTAAAATGAGAAGAGGTATTCCAACAACTTACAGAAAGTCAACTGTAGCACACACTGTGGGTGACCTGGCCATCTTTTCTCCGCACTCACCATTCCAACAAATGCTTCAAGTTCCTCCTGCAAGGACTTGCAACTCTCTACCCAAGGCCCACCCGTGGAGGTGACGGGTGGAAGTGTGGGGAGTTGATGCCTCTGGGAGCCAGCCACTCTTAGGCAGTAGAGGCAGAATATCTGGTCTGGTTGAAAAGGCCACGCTATTTCCCACACGCACTCCGGAGTTACCCAGGAGGACTGAGCCCCCGTAACCAACAGCAGTAACTTGCCCAACAGCACACCATTTATCAGCTGCCTTTCCTTCCCTCTCACTTCTTTACCCCCTTGTCATTTCTAACATCTTCAGAGCAACATCTCCTCATAGGGCCCCACCCTGAGCCCTTGGATGTGAATGCACTAAAACATGAACCAAAAATATAAAATTGATGAGTAGATTCTTGAGTCAAAGAGATTTCACTAAATGTGCATACTCTGATTCATTCATGGGAGCTGTATGAACATTGACGAGGATTCTTGGCTTAGCAGGAAAATGTGCCACAATTGATTGGCAATGTCTGCTAGAGGCAAGGGATGGGGCAAGTGGTGATCTGATTGGCGTGTCTAGACATTACCTAAGGATTGTCAGCCTGATCTCGAAGCCCGGGGAGTAATCCTCATAGTGGATGATCCTGGCGAAGATCACTGGGGTGATAAAATTGGCCAGAGTGATCACAATAGAAGGCAGGTACAAAATCAAGAGGTTCTCTCCGAAAATCATCTTGTCAATTTCCTGTGAAGATAACAAAACTGGTCAGGAGAATAATAAGGAAAGTTGCATCACACATGAATTGATCTTAAAAGAACTCAACTATATGTATTAGACTGTACACTTTCAACTTACACAGTGTTGTATATTGATTATACTTCAATAAAACTGGGGGGAAACCTATGCTGTACATGTTTATTAGCAAACAAAACAAAATAAAACATACATGTCATTCAACAAGGCCTTTAAACATAAGCCATTCTCCTTCCTTGGGTGTTCAAATAAAATAAAATAAAAAATTATCTAGCCAGTGTTTCCCAAACTTTTGACATATGTGTACCCCTTCTATAACTTTTGACATATGTGTACCCCTTCTATATGAGTACCCCTCTTACTTATGAGAACATAGAATTAGGCGCAGCTAAGCATGGTGCAGTGCATATTCCCACCAAACTCCGGTGCAATGTGTACCCCCACCAAACTCTTCCCGAACATACTAGAAGGAAAATGAGCTCTACTGGATTTGTTTAGGTGAGATATAAGAAAAACAATCCATGTTTCTGTATCAATGGGCAATGTATTTTCAAGGTTGTAATAATCTACCTAATAAAAGGGTAACATGCTAATTGACCATACCTTCACATCACCCACCAGCCAATCAGGAGTGGATATGCAAATTAACCCAACAAAGACGGTGGGTTAATTTGCATATACAGGCACCAAGCAGCCTGGAGTGAGGCACTTGAGTCATTGCTATGCGGACAATGGAGGCGTTCTGCACCACCCCAGCCGCTCCAGCCTCTGGGCAGTGTGGGAAGTCAGAAAAGTTGTCCAGGCCGGAGCAAAGGCAGTGCTGGCAGCCAGGGGAAGGAAGGCCCATTCTTGCACAAATCTTCGTGCATAGAAGGCCTCTAGTTACTTTTAAAAGCCATTTTTTCCTTCTTTAATAATAATAGACTATTTAACCACATATAGGGATATATGGGATAAAACTACATTTCCCAGCCTCCCTGTAGTTAGGTCCAGCTATCTGACCAAAAGGATATAAGTGGAACTTTTATGTGCAACCTCAGGTCACAACCTTAAAGGGAAGGGTTGTGCCCTTCTCATCTCCTTCCCATTGGCTATATGGTAAACTATCAAGTACCATACAGACGAGGGCCACACTTTAAGGGTGGCAGAGACACAGGATGCCCTGATGATTGATTTCATGAAGCAGAGCCACTAGACCAAATTGAGTTTTTAAAAGCACTGTTATTTTAAGTACACTGAGCCCCTACTAATAAGTAGAGGAGCTGGAGGTTAAATCAGGCAATCCAGCTGTATTTAAATATTGTGAGTTCCAGGGAGAGCAGTATTGCAAATATCCTATCTTGGATGCTTTTTCTTTCTATTAGAAGTGGAAATTGGTCACTCTGATTTCTGGTTCTCTGTTACATCAGCCGAATGACTGACATGTAAAACAGATGATGATGGTATCTGCCTCATAGGTTTACGAGGCACTTAGCCTAATGTCCCAACCAAGTACAAGTTAAGAACATTCAAGGAGTCCTTACTTTTTGCATGTGTTCTTGTGAGAATATAGTTGCTTTATAGATTGCATAAAAGCATGCCACTAACACAGCCAGAACAATACAGTTCAAGAACAGTCTCAGAGAGTAAATCCGTATTGTTTCTTCAGTGGTCCTTTCCGCTATTTTCTGCCGGATTCTTTCTTCCTCCAGGTCTGCCTGAGGAGCAAAGAAGACTCATCTGTGAGCATGGGTGGTGAAGGGCCCTCAGGGGTGGAACGTCTGACTTTATCTTCAGATCCCATTCCTCTTCAAGACTTTCCTTAAATATTCACCTTTCCCAAGATACCATCCCAGATAAAGCCCAACTAGTGTTTGTGTTTAAAAGGCCAAAGTCAAGGCAGAACCTTCTATTTATGATAGCAATTAAGACTGCAATAAATGGGAAAACAGAACTATTAATCTATTCATGATATTACGATATTACATGTTATATGCATTATTTCTTGAAACAGTATGTAAGGTGAGCATGTTTGTTTTGTTTTTATTTAACTCAACTTGGTCTCTGCTTTTAAGATAAAATTCAGTCTGTTTATGTTTAGTATAACAAATAACTCATTTAATTTTATTTTTTCCATCTTACTTGATTAAACTTTGATACAATTGGCTCCCCCTCCGTCTGGGGGGAGGAGGGGAGGTTTGATCACAATGCTATCTCTTACTCCTTCTCTCCTTATTGAGAAATTCTTGTACTTTTTCATATTCACGCCACTCTACCTTATCATTGTAGCATTCTGTCGTTTGTCCTGTTTTTCCTGGTGTGAGTGATGTTTATGATGCGTTCTCACGAAGTTGAAAGATAACAGGGAGGCAGGGGGAGGAGGAAAGGGACCACTTCCTTCCACTCACTGCCCAGTCCCCACTTCCCTCCCAGCCCTTGTTTACAAGCTCACTTCGAGGAGGGACAAGGGTAGAAGGAGATCGACCCCAGGAAGCTGTTCTCTGCTAAAAGCTCTCAAGAATGGCAAAATACTTGCTGAGTACTGGAGAAGCCTGAACCCCACCCAGCTCCTCCGCAAGCTGCAGGCCCGCCGCCCACGGCACCACCTTGCTGGCAAAGCAGCCACCAAGAGAAAACCCGCAGCACTCACTCGGAGCTCGTACCGCAGGCTGCTGTGCTTGAGGTCCGCCATGCTCTGGCTGGTGATGCAGAAGTCCCAGCCGGCAAAGATCTTGTTGCAGTAACTCTGGAAGTGCTCCTCACTCTGGATCAGGTTGATTTTGAACCCTTCCACCGACCTGACCCCCAAACACGGTTATAAGAACAGCAGCAAAAGACAAGCCCGCGGACTGACTTTGCCTATAACAGTGGTCGGCAAACTCATTAGTCAACAGAGCCAAAATTTCTTTTGAGAGCCAAATTTTTTAAACTTAAACTTCTTCTAACGCCACTTCCTCAAAATAGACTTGACCATGCCATGGTATTTTGTGGAAGAGGGGCCAAAGAGCCGCATGTGGCTCGCGAGCCGCAGTTTGCCGACCACGGGTCTAAACTGCAGGTCTGTAAAACTTGATCTGCCCTGCCACCATCACCAAGCAACAAAGCCAGAACCCGAGCCAACCAACATCTCTTTACAAGAATCTCTCTGTCCCTCCAAGGGAGCCACCGCTCCCTCTTGTCCATACGCTGCCCATTTGGGTTGGGGAATGGACACACTGCAGGCAATTTTCATCTGCTAGCTTACGCGTTGGGTCAGGAGTGCCTGCTGGGCTCTGGGGCTGTGTGCTGGTGAACCCAAGACTCCAGGGAGGGAAACTCAGTCCCAGCATCGTGGTCTCTTCACAGCCCCTGGCTTACAGCACTGCTCACACTCTCACATGGACAATGATGTGGGTAAGAGAGGTGACCATCATGATCCTGTCTGCCAAGCACCCTCTTTGGGGCAGAGACTGAAAGCCGTTCATCAGAATTTTGTGGTTCCCCTTCCATAGTATAGTGTCAGTGCTGGGAAATGGCTGCCAGCCAGGGATAACATTTCCTAGCCTCCCTTGCAGCTATAGTCGATGGAAAGTGAGTGAGGAGTATCATTTCAGGCCTAGTATTTATGGAAACACCTTCCACGGGATACTCCCTCACGGTTGGTTCTCCCTTCCAGCTCTCAAAGGGAACTTCAAAGCTGCGTGCTGAAGAGGCTGAACTTCGGCCCACCTGAGTCCCACAGTGACTAAGAAGATGCCCCTACCACACTAACCTGTGTCCCACTCAGAACTTTATGTAAGAAAGGTATACAACGTCTACTGTGATTGGACCATTGTACTTTTGGGGGGAAGTTATTCATTAATATTAAAGTAATTAATATTCCTCACTTTTCTTTTCCTAGAAATTGACACTAAGCCACGTGTCTACTGGGGAAATGCCAGGTTCTCCTGTGATCCTAACCCACTGGCCACAGCTGAAGGGTCAGGGTTGGGTACCTGAGTGAACCAGAGCCAACAAATCACCTTAAAGGATTTCTGCACCCGTGACCCAGAGAGGCCACGTAAGGAAACCGCCACCAGGAGAATCAGATATGAAGGAGCTCTTGCTTTGGGATATTTCAAAGTCACATCTTTATCATTGTCCGTTCTGTAATTACTTTCCTCCCTTCCTTGGTTCTCTGAGCCACTCAACTGTCCTTTGCCCCCAGTTTAGTCGTATCTAGGTTTCTGCCATTGAAAGACCTGGTTAATAGACACACCGGACTGAAGACCTGGTTAATAGACACACCGGACTGAAGATAAGGTTGGGGACATGGCAGACACGTGTGCAATAATGATTGAGTGAAGATCTCCAGGCTGCTCCTCCAGCTCTCAAATCCTCCTCCACTGCCTTCACATCTCCACAGCCTCCAGAACACATACATCTTTCCCCCGCTAAGCCCACGCCTGGACTCTGCTCATCCTCTGGGCAATGGCTCCCAGAGTCCATGGCCTCCAACAGACTCCAGACTCCAGTCATCAGGGTAATACAAAGAGAACACAATGATACGTAAACTTTACCTTTTCACTATCCAAAGAAGGCTCAGGGCCAGGTAGGCAATTGTGCTTAACAAATAGGCCAGAGGCAAATCATAGGTGAAATTCTGAAATTTCACCCCGTCAATGGTGTAATGTCCATAAAAGAGGCAGGTCTTTTCCAAGAAGCCCTAAAACAAAGTCACAGACATGAGGTCAGACTAGTAAGTTCACTGCAAGAAGCCAGTCTCTATCTCAAGAACTCACATTCCAATGCCATTGCTCATCCCTGAATTCCCAGGTTCTGAAACCATCTTAAAGGTATAAAGGTCCCTAATGTTTGGGGTAGAGCATGGATAAAACCTGAGCATTAAAAATACACAGGTCTGGGATCCAAAAATGAAATAAAATAAAATAAATAAAATAAAATAAACAATTCCATGTGCAGTAACAGCAAAAAACAAAAAACTTAGGAATAGATTTAACACCAGAAATGTATATTCTTAAAGCTATAAAACATTGTTTAAAAATTAAAGAAGACTTAAATAGATGGGAAAACATCCCATGTTTATGGATCAGGAAATCCCTGGTAATATGCCCCCACTTATCTATAGATTCAACCCATTCCTATCAGAAACCCAGCCGGCTTCTTTGTAGAAAATTACAAAGTAATCCTAAAGTTCATATAGAATTAAAAGTGCCCCAGAACAGCCAAAACAATATTGAAAAGGAAAAAAAAAAAAAAAAAGAACAAAGTTGGAGGACTCACACATTCCAATTTCAAAATTTGTTGAAAAAACAATAGTAATCAAGACAGTGAGATCGTAACATAAGAATAGAATATAAATCAATGACAAAGAATTGAGTTCAAAATTAAGCCTATACAGTTATGGTTCATCGGTTTTTGATATGGGAAAAGAACAGTCTTGTGAAGAAATGATGCTGAGACAACTGGATAGCCACATGCAAGAAAATATATATAAACCATATATAAAACTAACTTAAAATGAATAAACGACCTAAAAAGAAGAGTCAAAACTATAAAACTCTTAGGAAAAAAAAATAGAGGGCTAACCCAGCCAGTGTGGATCCATGGTTGAACTATGAAACCAGGAGGTCACAGTTCAATTCCTGGTCAGGTCACATGCCCAGGTTGCAGACTCAATACCAAATAGAGGATGTGCAAGAGGCAGCAGATCAATGATTCTCTCATCATTGATGTTTCTATCTCTTTCTCCCTCTCCTTTTCTCTCTGAAACCAACAAAAAATATTTTAAAAAATAAGGGGGAAAAAACAGAGGGCTAAATCTTCATGACCTTGATTTTTGGCAATGGATTCTTAGCTATGACACCAAAAGAAATAATAGCTATAAAGAAAAAAATAAATTGGACTTTATCAGAATTTAAACTTTTGTGCTTCAAAGGACACTATCAAAAAAGTGAAAAGACAATTCAGAGAATAGGAAAAAGTACTTGCAAATGACATATCTGATAAAGTACTTGTATCTAGAATATATATAAAGAACTCTTATAACTCAACAATAAAAAAACATAGAATCCAACTAAGAATGGAAAGAGGTCCTGCCTAGGTGGCTCAGTTGATTGGAGCATCATCCCATTCACCAAAAGGTCGTGGTTTTGGTCCCAGGTCAAGGTCCACATAAGAATCAACCAACGAATGCATAAATAAGTGGAACAACAAATTGATGTTTCTCTATCTCCCTTTCTCTCTCTAAAAGTTTAATTAAAAACACACACAAAGACAGTCCACTGCACACAAACCAGCGTGGCTATATAAAAAAGTCAGGTAATAGCAAGTGTTGACCAGGTTTGGAGACATCAGAACACTCCTAAAGAGCTGGTGAGAATATAAAATGGTGCAACCACTTTGGAAAAGTCTGGCATTTGCTCAAAAAGTTAAAGCTAGTGTTACCACTTGACCCAGTGATTCCCCTCTTAAGTATATACTCCCACAGAAGTGAAAACGTATCTCCACACAAAAATTCACACATGAATGTTCATCGCAGCATTATTCTTAATTGCCAAAAGGTGGGAACAACCCAAATGCCCATCATGAGTGAATAAACAAAATGTGGTATTTCCATGCAATGGAATCTTATTTGGCCATAACATGGGATGAAAAAATTGATAGCTGCTACAACACAAATGAACCTTAAAAACATGTCAAATGAAAGAAGCCAGAGACAGAAGACCACATATCATATGATTCTTTTCATCTGGAATATACTAAGTAAGTATTTCAGAGACATAAATCATTAATAAAACAGATTAATGATTGCCTAGAGCTAATAACGAGGATTGGGAAGTGATAGCTAGTGGGTATAAAATTCCTTTTTTAGGTGATAAAAATATCCTAAAATTGATTGTAGTAATGACTGCATAACGCAGTGAATATACTAAAAACCACTGAATCGAGCACTATCAATGGGGGAATTGCATGATTGGTCAATTACACCTCAATAAAACTATGAACAAAAAAACAACAATAATGAAGTGACCTCTGTGAAACTATAGCACAGAACAGTCCCTGACTTCTTATGACCACCTCAAATTCCTCCTTGGATGGCACGAAGATTCCAGGAGAGTGAGAAGAGGACATACACGGAAGCAGCAGTACAGATAACACAGTGACGTTCGCCACAGCGCTGTTTATAAAGAAGGAAAAGGAGGCGATCTGAATGTCCAGCAGCAGGGGCCCGGCTAGACTGTGGGGAACCCGTGTTCTAAAACAGTAAGACCTTGTAAGTGCCCGAGAAAAGGCAAGAAGGCTATGAACCATGGTGTTCAAGGTTCAGTGACCTACAGGGAGGGGTCCTGTCATGCTTTACTCTATATATTCTAAGTTTGTTTGTTTTTTATGACAATCATGTCTTCTTATATTAAGTAAAATTTTTAACAGAAAAAAAAAATGTAGAAACAGAAGATTCCATCTTCTTAGTAACTCTCCCAAAGGCAGGGCACACAGGCCGGAAAAACTTGCCCAACGGCAGGAGACCTATTTATATTCCCTGAGGTTGATATCAGGGTTATCATTATTCCTCCCTCAGAATTATATAACATTACAGGGTAAAGGTTCACTGGGCCAGGAAAATAATTTGTCTGATTTTATAATGAGCTTGGCTTAATTGTTTTCAACAAAAACAAACCACTCTTGGATCTCTCTGGCTCTTAAGGGCAATTTAAACTTAAATTTTTAATAAAATTAAAATTCAGTCTCTCGGTCACACTAGCCACATCTCAAGGGCTCAAGAGTCAGTGGCTATCATATTTTATAGCACAGTTCCAGAACATTCTTATTTTGGACATGCCTGTTCTTTGTCATGCACACTTTATTGAACACTGATAATCAGGGGCATCTAAGTTTCCTATAGAATATTTCCTAAAAGGCCCTGGCCAGGTGGCTCAGATGGTTGGAGCGTCAAATGTACACCAAAAAAAAAAAAAGTTGCAGATTTGAATCCAGGTCAGGGTGCATACAGGCTACTAGCAATCAATATTTCTCACTCATATCCACTGTTCTCTCTCTCAAAAGCAATGAAAACTTATCTTCGGGCAAGGATTTAAAAAAACAATTTCCTATAAGGAAGAAGACGATGATGTGTGGAAATCGACAGCTTTCTCTTTTGGGTTGTAATCTAAAGAAACGGGGTTAACAGCAGTTCTGGGATTTGGTTCACCTTTGCTTTCACTAGCTGGGTGAACTTGGGTGAATCACTGAACTTCTTTTCTCCTTGCACAATGGGCATTTCAACACGCCCCTGATAACTCCTCTCAGCTATTTTGAGAAACACATCAGAGACGGAAAAAAAAACTTTTTCAGAATTAAGCACAATGGACAGATTCAATACTTCCTATTTATCTACTCCAAAAAGTGGAAGTTCAATGCAGTATTTTAATACCAATAACTTTCAGAAATGTATTTTTACAAATATTGAATGAAGTGGGCATTAAGATAAGGGGCCATTTGTCCCCCAGGAAATAGCCAGCAGTGTCTGGAGACACTTTGGGTTGCCACAACTTGCAGAACTGCTACTGGCATCTGGTGGGTGGGGACCAGGGAAGCTGCTAACAGCCTAGCGTGCACAGGACAGGCCCCCGAGGCAAAACATTATCGGGCCTGAGAGGCCAACAGCGCTGAGTTGAGAAACCCTGGTTTAGAGGGCAGATGGCCACTGGACAATAGCTCACAAAAACCAAAAAAGGAAAGCTCACAATAACTCATATTTTAGAGGAATGTTAAAAAACTCTTTTGAACATTAGGAAGGATGAGATTAATTCCATTTTAGAAAAGGGGGTGTTAATCTGGGATTGGTAGACTTTGACTGGATTTCAGGAAATGTGTATGTAGGCACACACGTCTGGGCATGTGTGCGCGCTTGTGCAACATGCACGTGTGTGTGGGTGTGTGTGTGTGTGTGTGTAATTTCTGCAGAGAAGAGCCACAGCTTTCATCCCGGGGGTCTAGAACCCCCAAATCTTACAGGGGTTCAATGTCAGAGGAATTAAGTAATTCCACCCGGGTTTATTGTCACTGACTTCTGCGGAGGAACTCAGCGTTTTGCTGCGGTTCCATCCGCAGGAGGCAGGGGCGACGGAAAAGGACACTGGCTGAGAGTGACAGAGCATAGTTCCTGTACATTCTATCAGGGGTTTCTGTACGTCCTAGCAGAGGGTGGGGGAACATTATCCTTGCGGACGAGGTCACTGCAAATCCAGTTCCTGTTACTGGTACTTGTGCCAACACTGATGACACTCAGGAAACTGTTGTTTAAATTAACCTATTTTTCAGGAGCTTGAAATACAGAATTATGTTAAATACTTACAGTGCCAGAGAGCAGGTCTATGATATAACTGTAAAAATAGATGAGTCCAGAACTACTTATTGGATATACTGTGCATTGAATATCTGTTAAAAAAAAAAAAAAAAAAAAAACAGAATCAAGGTCAGTGGAAATAGCTTTACAGTCTCTATACCTTGTCTATCACACTCTGTATAGACATGCACATACGAATATGTATACACATGTAGTTGGCATTATATATTTGTGTAGGGATGTGTGTGTGTGTGTGTGTGTGTGTGTGTGTGTGACTTTCTATTTGCAAACCAAACCCCAATGCACCAGGTACAGTAGCATTTCCCCTTTCGTTTTCCTAAACATTTTGGGATGTATTTTTTTTTTTCTGTAAATTTTGCATGAGGGTCCACTTATAGTAATGTTTTCTGCTTGTATTGATATTGTGTGTTTTGAGATTCATATTTAAACATGTTTTAGAATTTGTGATTGATGTAATTGTTATTCCACTTTAACCACATCCAATTCTAAAGGATCTCTATGTATGTGGGAATAAACATGCAGTTTTATTTGAACAATACATATATTTACATACATTTAATTAACCAAGAAATAATTTGAATAATAATCTTAGTGGCACTACCTTATCCTTGAATTAATTCACTTCCTCTGTATCAGTCAGCTATTACCGTATAACAAATAACCTCAAAGTTTCAGTGACTTCACATACCAACCATCTATTTTCTCATTCATGGGTCTGCAGCTGGGGTTAATTCAGCTGATTTAGGCTAAGCCAGGATGGACTCCAGGCTTCCACTTGGGCTCAGGACTGCTCCCCATTATAAGCAGACAAAGGAGACAGTTATTCTATTCGGAGAGGTGTCAGGAAGATAGCAAGAGATGCCTGCCATTCTGCTCCTCACTCACTGTCCTCCAGCCTAGAGGTCGGCAAGCTATGGCCCATGGGCCAAATCAGGCCAGCTGCCTTGTTTTAGTTAACACGGAGCTATGGGAACACAGCTACGCTCATTCACGGTATCTGTGTGTGGCCACGTTTGTGCCATAATGGAAATGTTGCATAGCGGCAATTGAGACTATATGATGTGCAAAGCCCAACATATATACTACCTGGCCTTTTATAGGAAAAGCCAAGCCAGGCTTTTCATTTCTCTAACACACCAACTGATCCTCAGTTTCCTTATGGTTACTTGCCAGCTCTGGACCTTCACAGATGCTGTTCCTCTGCATGAAGATGCTTCCCTGAGCTCTCTCTTCCTAGCTGCCCTCTCCTAACCCTCCTGGACTTGGATTAAACACCCCTGCCTTCACAGAGGGCTTTGGGGACCTCTCAGCCTCCAGTGTCTTTGGTGCTCAGGACTTTATCCCTTTCCTTTCCCAGGGCCCAATGCATACCTTCTATACTTCGTGTGGCTCACTCCTCAAAGCCCACCTTCCGCTAGAACCTATTAACTCTGTGGATGCAGGTGTGCGGTTCCTTGTTGTAGCCTCAGTGCCAGGCTCAGGGCCCAGCACACCGTAGGTGCCCAGTAAACACTTTTGGAAGAAATGAATAGGGGAAGGAAGATGCTGAGTGTTGTACTGTCTTATTTAATACTCATTTTTAAATTATGAGTGTTGCTTAATGATTTAAACATTTTTATTTTCTTTAAAAAGTAATATAGAATTTATATTATTGCTTTCAATTATTTCTAACTTAAACTAGAGGCCTGGTGCATGAAATTCGTGCACAGGTAATGGTCCCTAGGACTGGCCAGTGATCAGAGCTGATGAGGACCTTCTGGCTGCCGGCCTGGGCCTTCCTTCCCCCCCGCTGCTGGCTGGGGCCTTCCTTGGTTCTGCACTGCCCCCTGATGGTCAGTGCACATCATAGCAAGCAGTCAAACTCCTGGTTGGTCGAACTCCCAAGGGGACAATTTGCATATTAGCCTTTTATTATATAGGATAAGTACTTATTATTTTTTAATGAGCAAAGTGTGAAATAGTGAGGTGTTATTTGAATAAGGAAAGTAACCATCTCATTATTTAAATTATCACCACCATTGTATGGATAAGGAAACTGAGGTTCAGAAAGTCTAGTCAGCTAGCAGAGCAAGGCCTTGAAACAGAGCCCAGGGTTCTCACATAGCAGCAGTAATATTTCCTGTAAAATGGACTTATGAGAAAATGAGAGTGTAGTACCTGGCATACAGTAGGTACTCAATATGAGTGCCAAAGCCCTGAATTAAGTTTGAGTTTCCACATTATCCTCATTTTATTTTGAAGTGTAATAGAATTAAGTCAGAAACAAACATGAGGAGGAAAGTTTGGGGCCACAGAAGTGATTTTAGAGAAGGGTTCTTCTAGGACAGTGATCGGCAAACTCATTAGTCAACAGAGCCAAATATCAACAGTACAACGATTGAAATTTCTTTGGAGACCCAAATTTTTAAACTTAAACTTCTTCTAACACTACTTCTTCAAAATAGACTCACGCAAGTTGTGGTATTTTGTGGAAGAGCCACACTCAAGGAGCCAAAGTGCTGCACGTGGCTCATGAGCCGAAGTTTGCCGACCACGGGACTAGGGAAAGGAGTTCTATGATCTGAGAAGCATGAGGCTCCAATTCTAGCCCCAACACAAAACCTGGTCACAGAACCCAATCAAATGTCTGCAGAATGACTAAAACTCTCCTCATTTGAATAAACAAAGTGCCCAGAAGATCTGACCTACGTTAAGAATTTAAAAAAAAAAAAAAAAAAACCACAGGTCCAGCGCTTGCCATTGGCACACGATTGGTGTTTAATAAATGGTAGCCCAAGCATCGCCATTGTCAGAGACAAAAGCCTTAACTGGATTATGCTTGCTAAATATTCCACTTTCTGACCCTGAGATTCTCCTCCCAAATGCCTTGATGAACTCAGGAGTGGCTGAGAGGCTTGCTTTGGCTAATGAGATGTGGCAGAAATGACACGCGTCGTCTTCAGGCAGACGCTTTAGGAGTCAGCACATCTGTCATGGCTCCAGTATGAAGACAACACGGAAAAAAGCCACCACCAAACAGTGATGGACATGTCTTTGAGCAAGACAGAAACCTTTGTGGATATCAGGTGCAGAGAGTTACAGGTTCATTTGTCTCCGTGGCATAACCTAGCCCAGTTTGGCAAACTGGCTTGCAAGCCACATGCAGCTCACAAGCCTCTGTTTGCCGCTCTGTTGGCTAATGAGTTTGCTGACCACTGACTTAGCCCACCTTGACTACAGTAACCGAGATTAAAAATATAAAGATTTCTAAAGAAGGAAGCATTGTAATCAGACAACACTCTTCAGGGAAAACCGGACCATGGACTCACCTATGTCTTTGGCTGGAATGAGCACGAAGCTGCTGTTGGTAACCTTGTATTCCGTGAGCAATATTGGGAGCAAAACCAACATGAAGATGATCAGAAATATGACCAAATTCAGCAACACCAGAAATCGCAGGAAAGAGAAATAGGACTGAATCCCAGTGCCAAATTTCCCTGGGGGGAAAAAATGTATCATTGAGCATATTGAGGAATATTGGTTCACTACCCATTATAGATTTAATCAGCCACATTGGGCTGAAGTTGGAGGAATCTTGGTGGAGGGGAAGGATAAAAAAAAAAACACCACACATTTTATTTTTTCTATTGTTGACTTTAAGGTTCTACTTCTAATGGTTTAAACTTTGACTTGTAAATGTACGTTCAATCTTTCCTTGTTTTTAAAATTTCTTTATTGATTAAGGTATCACATATTTGTCCTCATCCCCCCATTCCAATCCCCTGCCTCTCCCCACTCATGCCCCCACCCCCCTATTGTCCTTGACCACTGGTTAGGTTCATATGTATGTACACAAGTCCTTTGGTTGATCTCTCCCTTTTATCCCCACCCTCCCTCTGAGGTCCAACAATCTGACCCATGGCTCCTTGTCTCTGGGTCTTGAACTAACTATTTGAAAATGGTATACGGGAGGACTCAATAGTTCCTTTTCTCACATAAAAATCAATTTCACTTCAGCACCATTTATTGAAAGAGTAAACTTTCCCCCAATGAATTGCAGTAGTGCTTCTGTAATGGACCATAATATATGAAGCTGTTTCTGAATTCTCTATTGTATTCTAATGGTCTATTTATCTATCCTTGCACCAATACCAGGTTAATTATTTTAGATGTATAATAATACTTGATATAGAATGCTATAAGTCTCAGCTTTATTCTTCCTCAGGTCTGCTTGATCCTCTGCATTTCTATATAGTAAATTTTAGAATCAGTGTGTTAATTTTCACATGGATACATATACACACATATACACAGAATCTCTGAGATTCTGATTAGGATTACATGGAATATGCATAGGTCAATTTGAGGACAAGTGATATCATTATAATATTGAATCTCTGGTCCATGAACATGAGATATTTAGGTTCTTTAATTTCAATGTTGTACATTTTTATGTGCAGGATGATTCATATCTTTTCTTTTTTTTTTTTTTACATATATCTATATTCCTAGGTACTTAATTTTTTTATGCTACTGTAAATTGGATCTTTTTTAAATATTCATTTTCCAAGTGTTTGTTGCTGGTATATAGAAAAACAATTGGCTTTATATAGAGGTCTTGTATGTAGCAATTTTACTTTTTTTTTAAAAAGGCCTTTGCTCAGGCAGTGTGGCCCAGTGGTTGAGCGTCAACCTCTGAACCAAGAGGCCACAGTTGGATTCCCAGTTAGGGCACATACCAGGTTGCAGGCTCGATCCCCAGTAAGGGGTGTGCAGGAGGCAGCCAATCAATGATTCTCTCTCATCATTGATGTTTCTGTCTCTCCCTCTCCATTCTTTTGAAATAAACTTAACATTGTTTGTTTTTAAATATATTTTATTGATTTTTTACAGAGAGGAAGGGAGAGGGTTAAAGAGTTAGAAATATCGATGAGAGAGAAGCATCGATCAGCTGCCTCCTGCACCCCCCACTGGGAATGTGCCCGCAACCAAGGTACATGCCCTTGACCAGAATCAAACCTGGGACCCTTCAATCCACAAGTCAATGTTCTATCCACTGAGCCAAACCGGTCAGAGCTAAAATTATATTTTTTAAAAGGCATTTTGTTTCTGCCTTTCCACTCCCTATGCCTTTCCCGCCATGGTTGTACATGAGCCAGAATTTCCAGGATGATGCAGATTTGAATCAGTAATAATTAACACCCTTTTATCATTCTCAATCTTGGGGGAAGCTTTCAATATTTTACCATTAAGTATGATGCTTGCTGCAGAATTTCTGTAGTTATACTTGCAGATTAAGAAAGTTCTCATCTATTTCTTATTTGCTAAGAATGAGAATTGATGGGATAAGCATATAATTTTCTCCTTATTCTGTTAAGAATTATATTCATTGGTTTGTTTGTTTTTTTAAGAAAATAAACTTTCCACCACATAATGATCAAATTATTAAGGACAGTCAGAAAGCACTTGAAGAGTGAGGGCATCTGCTTGTTCTTTGTGGGGGCAAAGAATTTATCTTTGAGACAAAAGATATAAGAGACCCATAATCTTTGCTTCTCTTTAAACCCAGCAACTCTGCCAGAGCAAGGAGCTTGACTATCACACCTTTATTTCCTGCCAGATGAGTACCTAGCAAGCAAAGAAGTCATAGGAATGAAGCATTGAAGAGAAAATCAAAGCCCCAGTTCGCCAGGAAAAAACTACCCTCCAATCCACAAGCCACTTTTTGAATGAAAATCTCAGGAAAAGCCACCATTTAACAAGAGAGAGGTGGTGGATAAAACCTTATCCTCTAAAGCTCACTGCCTGGGTTCAAACCCTGTATCTGCCTTGTCCTCGCCAGTGAACTTGCGCAAGTGTTTTAACGTCTCTGAGCCATGTAAGTGATAATTATCTGTATGGGAGAATCTTGTGAGAGCTAAAGTGAAATAATTTGAGTAAATGTTTACACAAGGCCTGATTCATAGGAAAAGCTCAATAAAGGTTAACTTTTATTACTAAACTAGAGGCCTGGTACACAAAATTCATGCACAGGAGGGTCCCTCAACCCGACCTGTACCCTCTCCAATCCGGGAGCCCTCAGGGTATGTCCTACTGATGGCCTAGGCCTGTTCCCCATGGTTCACTGCTGTCTGCTGGGCCTGTCTCTCTCTGCAGGGCCTGCTTGCCACTCGCCGGGACTGGGGGACTCCGGCAGGGCTAAGGGGACTGGGTGCTGCCAACTTGTGGCTATGGGCGCCACCATCTTTTGTGATGGAGTGATGGTCAATTTACATATTCCCTCTTTATTAGCTAGGATGTTACTCCAAACAGGATGTTCACTTAGCTTTCAAAAATGAATGGTTCAAGTGAAACTCCTTAGAAATATGTTTACATTCTCTCAATAAAATCAAAAGAGGTAGTTCTTTAAATAGATTACCAATGGTATTTTACAAGTCTTGTATTAGTAATAATGGGAACAATAATTTCTTCCATTTCTCCTACATCGTTCCTTACAAATGTTACAAAATTTCCCTTCTAGTAGTTTTGAGGAGATGCTTGTAAATAATTTTGCTTTATGGTAGAAACTATGTAATCCTAGAAGGTATTTTCCCCTCTTGCTCTGCTATATCAACCAAATGTTGAAATGGTTTTTTTCCTTCTAATTTTATACTTTGGCACAACTTCCAATTTTTGTATACTTGCTATAGAATGAATTGTGTGTCTCCCTCCAATCCATATGTTGGAGCCAAGATGATGGTATTTGGAGGTGGGGCCTCTGGAAAATAATGAGGTTTCAATGAGGTCATGAAGGTCAGGCCCTCATGATGGGATTAGTGCCCATATAAGAGATGCCAGTTTGAGTCTTCTCTTCCTCCCTCTCCTTAACCCTCTCTCCTGGAGTGTGCACAAAAAGAGATCATGTGAGGACATAGTGAGAAAGTGACCTGATCTTGAACTTGCAGTCTCAGAACTATAAAAAAAATGAATGTCTGTAGCCTAAGTTCCCTAGTCTATGTTACTTTGTCATGGCAGCCCAACCTGCCTAGTGCAATACTGCACCCCACTATCACTATTATGGGAAAGAAAGGATTGCAAGTTATCTTCAGGGTCATGGGTATCTGTGGCTGTGTAGAGAAGCCTAATGAACTTCATCTCAGAATAATGTTTTAAATGCACAAAATACAAACAACCAAATTTGTGATGGAATCGCACATGGGCATCTTCATTAGCACACTAAATAATAAGACTTGGTGGTAGATCTGAAAACTGCTATGATTCCACAGTAGTGATGAGCATAAATGGTTTCCCAAGATAACTACAACTGGAAGGAACAGAGAGCGATCTGTGATTTTTCCTGGTGACAAAGACACAGGTTCTGCTAATCCTCACAGTAGTATTGCTCACATTCATCATGGGAGGAAATGCCAGATTTCAGCTAAAAGTCCATGAAAATGAGGCAGAATTTCCCCGCAGGCACCACTGTGGAGGAGCACGTGCAGAGTGGGGGGGGGGGGGTACCTCCTATGCTGCGAATGTCCTCTCGCCACAGCTCCAGGTGGGTCATCATCTCACGAGCTTTCTCCAGGAACCTCTTCCAGGACTTGCTGCTATACCGTTTCCACTGGTCCCACTCGGATAAATACTTCATTTGGGTCTCCTGAATTTCCCTGCATTAAAAACGAGCATGACAATGACTATGGCATGGCTGCCAAGCCTTAGCATCAAATAAAACCCCAGCAGAGAGGATGTGGAAACCTGGAGCCCTCATACATTGCTGGTGGGAATGTAAAATGGTGTGGCTCCCAGAAAAGCAGAGTGGCCATTCCTTGAAAAGCTAAACCTAGAGATAACGTATGACCCGATAATTCTACTCCTAGGTCGATAGATATCACAAAAGAACGGAAAGCAGGGTCTCAAACCAAATCTTGTACCTGGATGTTCCTAGCAGCACTATTCACAATAGTCAAAAGGTGGAGACAAACCAAATGTCTATCAACAGATGACTATCTAAACAAAATGAGCTATTTCTACACAGTGGAGTATTATGTAGCCATAAAAAAGAAGGAAGTTCTGGTGTCTGCTACAACATGGATGACTCTCCAAAACATTATATTCTGGACTGGCCTTGTGACCTGTTCAGATCACAGGATGCAGCAGAAGTGATGCTGTGCCAGTTCTGAGCCCGGCTCCCAGAAGACTTGCAGGATTCTGCTCTTCTCTTGGATACCAGCTGCTGCCATGCAAACAAGCCTCGTGAGCTAACCTGCTGCAGGGTGAGACCATTCCAGTCCGGCCTACGGCCAGCTGAGCCTGAGCCTTGATGAGCAGAGCCACCTCTCTGACCACAGCTGGCCACAGATACATACATAGTGAGCCCAATGGAACTAGAAGAATTGCCCAGCGCCAACTTGTTGACTTGAGAAAATTGTTGCTTTAAACTACAAAGTTGTGCGGTGACATACTACACAGCACAGCTAACTAGTGCATGCATACACCACACTCTTTCCCTCTGCATTGGCTACAGGCAGACAATAGTTAAGCTTTGGGAGGGCTGCAGAGCCACAAGATGGAAAGAACCTGGTCCCTAAATGACTGCAAAGTCCTCCACTGCTCTGACCCAGGAATTTTATGTGAGCAAGAAATACATTTCTAGCTGAAACCAGTTTGGCTCAGTGGATAGAGCGTTGGCCTGTGGACTGAAAGTTCCCAGGTTCGATTCCGGTCAAGGGCATGTACCTTGGTTGCGGGCCCATCTCCAGTAGGAGGTGTGCAAGGGGCAGCTGATCGATGATTCTCTCTCATCGATATTTCTAGCTCTCTATCTCTCTCCCTTCCTCTCTGTAAAAAATCAATAAAATATATTTTTTTAAAAAGAAAAAAGAAATACATTTCTAATAAGCTGACCTTTGACGTGTTTGGGTATCTTTGTCACAGCAGCTTAGCTTACCCTAAGGAATCGTTTTGCTTATGTGAGCTCTTGAGGAAATAAATGCATGCCATGCATACAACGCACCTCTGCCCAAAACCTACACCAGATGCCTTCCAGGTGGCTACCGAACGCACCTTAGCCTCCGCTTCTCAGAGATGTTCAGCGCATACTTCCGAATGGACTGGCTGTTGAGGTTTTCCGCGATTTCTCCCTCCCGCTGGGAGGTGTAAGAGTCTGTCGGCTTCAGCAAAATGCCACTCTGCTTGTCTCGGGAAGGGATGATCGTCCTCTTGCGTGCAATGGACCGGTAACTCGGCAGTTCTTGGAGGAAATTCACAGGTGGAGAAGAATAGAAACTGGATTCCAAAGAGGGGCTCTCTGGGGAGGAAAGAAGAAAAGCATCATTCACTTCCGGTGAGCCAACCACTCTTGTTGGGAGCCAACAAACAGAAGTCGTGTCGGAGACCTGGACCTCAGAGACCACAGCGAAACCTTGCCGACAGCCACTGGCCTGGGCCACTGACAAAAGCGTCTGTCTCTTAATTACTTCTCTACCAGGATGGTGCTCAGGACAATGGGATCATCTGCAAATGGGTTCCCTTTCAACAGATGTGTTTGCAAATACGCTTTAGGTTACCTCAGTGGTCGGCAAACTCATTAGTCAGCAGAGCCAAATGTCATCAGTACAACGACTGAAATTCCTTCGGAGAGCCAAATTTTTTTTTTTATTTTTTTTTAAATATATTTTATTGATTTTTCACAGAGAGGAAGGGAGAGAGATAGAGAGCTAGAAACATCGATGAGAGAGAAACATGGACCAGCTGCCTCCTTCACACCCCCTACTGGAGATGGGCCCCGCAACCAAGGTACATGCCCTTGACCCGAATCAAACCTGGGACCTTTCAGTCCGCAAACCGACGATCTATCCTCTGAGCCAAACCGGTTTCGGCAGAGAGCCAAATTTTTTAAACTTAAACTTCTTCTAACACCACTTCTTCAACATAGACTCGCCCAGGCCGTGGTATTTTGTGGAAGAGCCACACTCAAGGGGCCAAAGAGCCGCATGTGGCTCACGAGCAGCAGTTTGCCAACTACAGTGCTAGAGTTTGACTGTGGCCACTAGTTAAATGGGCGACCTTGGGCAGTTATCTAAATCTGTCGTTCGTTTGTCAAATGGGGCTCGTAACCTTTGCCCCAATTATCCTCACACAGGGTAGGGTAGAATGACGTATGGAGTAAAATGTGAAAAGGATAAAGAGCCTTGCAGAGTAATGACAATAATGTTTACAGAACAATTCCTATGAACCAGGCACTGTGTTAAGAGCTGCCCATACACGCATGGGGTCAAGACTGGCCCTCTGATCTGCTTGGACCAAGAGTGGAAACGATGCAGTGCCAGTTCTAAGCTTGCGAATTTCTGCTGCTCTCCGGACCCAGCTACTGCCATGTGAACAGGCTGAGCTAACCTGCTAGAGCAGGGTCGGCAAACTCATTAGTCAACAGAGCGGCAAACCGAGGCACTCGAGCCACATGTGGCTGGAAAGCCGCAGTTTGCCGACCACTGAACTAAGTAATTAACCCTACAGGCAGCAAAGCTTCTATGGCTCAATGTTAGATGCTAAATTGCTTGGGTTTGAATCCTGACTCTGACAAATATAGCTGTGTGTCTTTGGGAAAGTTATTTAACCTCTCTGAGTTTCAAAATTTAATACAGATTCTTTCAACCTTAACGCACATTCATTCAACAAATATATCTACCATGTGTCAAATCTGGAACTGGAGCTACCACAGAGAACAGAGCCCTATTCACGTGACACTTATATTCTGAGGTGGGGCAAGGGAAATCAGACAATAAATAGGCAACGCATATTAAGCCAGGAGGTGATAAGTGGAAGAAAACCAGAGTGGGTTAGGGGCAGAGGTGCACTGTTTTTGATAAGATGGGGCCAGGTATGGTCTCTCTATTAAGGTGGCATTTAAGCTGAGGCTGAATGGAGGGAGGGTGTGAACTAGGTGGGTATTTGGGGAAGAGCATCCCAGAAGAGGAGAACAGCAAGTGCAAAGGCCCTGGGGCAGGGAGGTGCATGGCATGTTTGAAAAAGCTTGTTCGGCTGGAGAAAAGTAAATGAATGGAAAGGTAAACAAACAGAGCGAAAGTTTCCGAGGAGCCACACCAGCCCTTCGCTGCCCCCACCTCTTGAATCCGGGCTGAATCCGTGACTTTACATAAGGATGTAACCAAAGTGGTCCTCTACCAGTTGCAGACCCAAGCCTTCAGAAAGTTTGAAGCTTCCACTTCTGCACTCTGTGAGCCTAGGGCTGCTGTGTAAGCAGTCAGGCTAAGCTGCTGGGACAACAGCATGGAGAGGAGGAGACTCCAGCAGAAACTGGTTTGTCTCAGTGGATAGAGTAATAGCCTGCAGACTGAAAGGTCCCAGGTTCAATTCCGGTCAAGGGCATGTACCTTGGTTGCGGGGCATATCCCCGGTAGGAGGTGTGCAAGAGGCAGCTGATCGATGATTCTCTCTCATCGATGTTTCTAATTCTCTATCCCTCTCCCTTCCTCAATAAAATATATTTAAAAAAAAAAAAAAAAGAAAGAAAGAAAGAAAAAGAAAAAGAAAGGAGAACCAAGGTGCAACCGCAACAGCCATTACAACCAGCCCCCAGTCCCCGGGGTCACCCTCGCCAGGCACCGCCAGGCACCGCCAGGCGAGTGAAGAGGCCACCTGGACGTGGCCCCAGCAGACATGACACGCAGTGGAGCAAGCCACACTCTGCTGATTTCCTGATGCACAACATCACCAGGAACAATAAAAAGGCTTTAGCCCTCATGTTTGGAGCAGTTTATTAGCAACAGCCGGTAACTGGGACGGAGATGGGGAAAGCAGGGGTCAGAGAGGTGGTGGGGCCAAACCAAGACATGCTGTGATCCTGGGATGTGATCATCGGGAAGCCACTGAGGGCTCTGGGCAGAAGCATGATTGATTTTGAAGGATCACTTCGGGCCCTAGCCAGTTTGGCTCAGTGGATAGAGCGTTGGCCTGCAAACTGAAGGGTCCCCAGGTTCGATTATGATCAAGACCACATGCCTGGGTTGCAGGCTCCATCCCCAGTAGGCATGCAGGAGGCAGCCAATCAATGATTCTCACTCATCATTGATGTTTCTCTCTCTCTCTCTCCCTTCCTCTCTTAAGTCAATAAAAATAAAAAAGGGTCCCTTCGGAGGCCACAAAGCTCAAGACAGGACCCACCACCAGGGCCCACTTACAAGCATTAAAGGTGATCATATAGACAGACACGCTCAGTCCAGGGCCCGGCAGGCGGTGGACTCCATAAACGTCCATGTAGATAGCAGGACAAGGGACCGAGGGAGAGCTGCGGGGGAGGGAGGGGGACACAGCCAAGGCCTCGCTCTGAGTGGGAGTCTGATGGGGGAAAGCTGTGATCTGTACCTCGCTGACGAGCCCGTGAGACACAATGGAGCAGCTGTCCCACAGCCGATGACACACAGCCACGTGTCTGGAGCACGGCCAGTCACCAAGGGCAAGCCTGCCGGTCTCCCTCAACCTCCCACTTCCCTGCCCTGCACACACGGGCATCTGTCACCCTTCCAGTTGGCAAGGCTGGCTTCCTAAAGCAAACCAGGGCATGGCGGGAGGGTCCACATCCAGGCTGGAGGCTACTCCTCCCTCTGGACAGCAACAAAGAGCGGTTATGAAGCACAAACAAAGGTCTTTCAATGTGGAGCAGCACCGACCTACTGGCTATTCAGCAGCTGTGGGTCAGGGGCCGAGCACTGGAGCTGGAGCCGGAGCTGGCTTATCAGCCACTGGCCAGGCCAACCCAGGCAAGAAAATGAGCGTCTCTGACTCATACGTTTCTCATCCCGGAACTGGGGATGTGACCTCATCAGACCTCATGGGCGTGATGGTGAGGACAGAGTTACTGGCTAGGATACATCGAGCCCTGACTGCAATAGGCTATTCGCAGTCCTTAATACGAGTCACCATACGTGATATGTGAGCTGCCTTTGAGTGGAATGATCCCATTTTGCAGATGGAGAAACTGAGGCTGGGAGAGGTCAAGTGGCCTTTCCCATTCACACAGCTGTTACTGTTGGAACCGGGACCCAATCACAGGTTTGTCAGATGCCAAAGCTGGGGTCTTCCCCATGGAATGATTCAATGGGCCATGGATTTGAAAGTGTTTCTTAATCACTACAATGGCTTGATTGCTCTTGCAAATGTTCCACTGGAAAGATACATCCGATTTACATTTCATGATGACCGTTGCTGGTGGAAAACCATTATTTTCGACATGGCCTTCATTGAAGAGGAATGATTTTTCCTTTTCGGACATTCTTGGGAAGTTCTCGATCTTAAAAAAAAAAAAAAAAATCACAGCCATACCTTTGAGCACAGGCATGGTTAATTTTATAACTATGATCGGCCTCTCGTTCTCACACAGGACTGCACTTTTCAGGGAATGACAGCACCTGGCTTCTCACGCCAACCTGCAGGGGCAGGCAGCGGAGGGCCCTGGCTTTGTGATGCCCAGCAGACGCCTGGCTCCACCGCTTCTTTTTTTTTTTTTTTTTTAAATATATATTTTATTGATTTTTTTACAGAGAGGAAGGGAGGGAGATAGAGAGCCGGAAACGTCGATGAGAGAGAAACATCGACCAGCTGCCTCCTGCAAATCCCCTACCGGGGATGTGCCCGCAGCCAACGTACATGCCCTTGACCGGAATCGAACCCGGGACCTTTCAGTCCGCAGATTGCCGCTCTACCGCTGAGCCAAACCGGTTTTGGCTCCACCGCTTCTTGCAGAGACAGGCACATCCCCTCTCCGAGCCTCGGTTTTCTTGACCCCGGAAATCAGAAGAATGTCTCATCATAGTTACTGCCCGCTGTTCTCCTGAGTTGGTCCGGCTGAACGTGTCACCTGTGTGGCCACTCAAGTCCTAGGGTCAGTGTGTGGGCTGTTTGTTGAGCATTTGCAAAGGGATGAGGGAAGGGACGTATTTCAGATGTTGAGAAATATATAGAATCTGTTTGTCATCAAAGCCAGATTTCAGCAATTAGATGATCACGGGGTAGGCGGGTGAGTGGGTAACAGTTACAGGAGAGTTGTGGACAGAGGCAGTATTAATACTTTCTGTGGTGTCTTGTATTCTTCCAGATTAAGGACAACGTTAGTCTGTCTGAAGCTTAGAGCACAGTCTTGCTCATAGAGGGGCCTCTGAAGAACGAATAAATGAACAAATGGACAGGTGCAGGCACATCTGGAGAGCATCTTTTGGTCCCAGCTTTTCTTCACAGCTCTTTCCACAAGACACCAAATCCCACCAACGGGCACCATCACTCCCAGGATGT